ATGTCCCAAGATTCTGAAGCTTTCCCCACTCCTTCTGACGACTTATTCGATTTCATTCGCCATGTGCATCATGCGACTGGTGTACGTGGCTTCTGTCACCTTTCCAACCGTCAATTCTTGAGGCTTGCAAAGGACGAGCTACTTCGCATGGACGACATCGTTGATGGACCCAGCCACGCCACCGAGCTCTGCCAGGTACTCAACGATCTGTATGGATTGAAGTTGTTCGTCGAGCCTCTGGACTGTCAGAGCTTTCAGACTACCCCAGACGTCCTTGACAAGAAGACTGCCTTCAGCATCTTACCTTTCGCAATGTCCCAAGCTGCTAAGGTCGATCTTAAGGACCTACCGAAGACCGAACTTAAAGGTACCATCGAGAAAGTGCATGCTGCTCTTGGTCGGCCTAAACAGAACGAGGATATCACCTTTAACCGCAAAGTCATCTCCACTTACTTTAAATCGCCCGTCAATCCAGTGGCACTGTTTGGGTGTCTGAAAGGCGTTGGTTCGCTCGCTACGAAGCATATCCCTGCTGACGATGCCGTGGCTGCGTCGAAGGGCTGGTACTATATGATGGGAAACATCGCGCTCAGCAAATTCCGATCACAAAAACGTATGACTCAGGGACCAACAGAAGACCTCAACTATGCCCAAGCATTCTTCGTGCAGGACTTGGAGCATTCTATTGAACGGTGGGAAACCTGGTATCGGCTTGCCCAAGCCAACGACACGCAGCTTGAAGAGGCTGTATCTTGGAACGCAGATAAGATGAACAGCAATAGTGCCGAAGTGGTCAACTTCCAGCGTGCTGCGATCAATTGCTACATTATGGCTGTAGCCTGCGCTACCCGCGATGCTAACATCACGCCGATCGATCAAACCAAGATTGCACAGATGTACACTGAGTTTGGAAACCGCATGTACGCATCATCCAGAGAACCATTTGGTATGGAGGCATTCCAGATCCGGGAAAGTGAAAAACGATTCTGCAACCTACAAACGAACGCATCCTTATACAAAGAGGTCGTGTTTGCCCCATTGCATGCCTACACTGCTTGGAAATTCGCAAGCACTCTCTACAAGAGAGCCATCAAAGGCAATCCGAACAAGTGGTGGAATCACTTCATGCTTGGAAAGTGTGGTTGGAAGATGTGGGCAGCAAATGATGGTGCGACGCAATATGCCAAGTCAATAGGTGCACCACTACCCCTTCCCCGCGGTCCTTCTTGGGAGTCAGTTGTGGACGCATTCATCAGCGCGATCGAGACACTACCTGGAAAGAAGGGGCGCAGCGGCGAGCCAGTCCTTGAGCCGCATTACAAGCTCGTTTCCATCACACACAAGCTACTCCTGCGAGGAGCCATCGACCACGAGAAAGGGGCGGAGATCCTCGCGAACACTTCCTACGCGCAGAACGTCAAAGCCCCAGAGAACAACGGTGACTGGCAGCGATACGTACTCGCGGTATTGAAAGCGTTGCGAGCGGCCGACAAATCAAGTTGGCACCATCGCATCATATCTCGTGTGGCCCATATTATCTACGACAACGGCAGAGATCCAGTATCGGCCAATGAGGCTAAACATGAGCTTACGCAGCAAATGTTCACAAAAACCATGGCTGTTCAGGTCTGGAAACCTGAGAATGAGCGACCCGGCCGACATTTTGTCTACACTACACGGTATACCAAGTTCTTCATCGAACTATTGGATCTCACTGGAGATAAGACTAACTTCGAGGCGCTTGCTAAGCGTGTACGACGCAAGCAGACTGACTTCTTCGAGCACCAGAAGCTGTGGCAAGACCTATGCTTGCGGTACATCAGGATGTTGCGAAAGATGGGCAACGTGCTTGAGGGACAGGAAGACTCTGCTTTCAAGTCCGTCAATCATGAGGAGTTCAATACGCTGGCTCTTCGGCTGGAAGCGTGGTGTCAGAACCCAGATACCCAACATCCCGTGCTGGATGTTCTCCGCGATGCCATTGAACTCAAGCGTCTAAACAACGGCATGATGAAGCCTCTTCTCATTGACGACCTGATTGGCGACGCATACGCAATGTTGTACACTTCAATTGGGCCTTCGCTACCGCCGTTGCAATCGGAGCAACAACCACAGCAGCCCTTGCAGCCTGCACAGCCTCGACCATCGCCTTTCGGTGTAACCGCAACAGTTACAGGTGCTGTACCTATATCCTCATTGATGCAAGTCCAGGTCGACGGTGCTGTCGATGGAAGCTCCGGTACGCCATTCAACATGTATCACCCCAACCAGCTTCAGCCGCAGCACCCTCCGTCAATGCCGCAAATGCCCTCGCAGCCTGAGCAACCCGCGAAACCAAGAGCCAAGGCAGTGGGTCGCAGGGAAATCGCTCGTCGAGCCGAAGCATGTGTACAAAAGATTGCAGGTACGGCGACTCAGCCAACATCGATGCCAATCCGATCGCCTCCACCCAGCGAAGCAACGCTTCCATCCATCGTCGGACAAGCCGCCTCGCCCGAAGCCGTCGCACAACTAGCACCTGGACCAGGCACGTCCACCGAGCATCTACATCCCTCATTCGACAAGAGCGGTACAGGCACTGCATCTGCCAGTATAAACAACGACGAGCCCGAACGCAGCGCACCCGCCTCTATACACGACGACGCGGACGACGAGAGCGAGCTCAGCGAACTAGACGAAGACGAGGTGGAAGAGATCCATCAGGAAGTTCAAAACGATAATTTGCGTAGATCGGTATCTATTGCAGGAAAGGTTCTCTTTCCTAATTTGGCGGCTAATCGAGCTAGCTCCGCAGAAAAAAGGAATGAGACTGCTGCTGGAGATGAGGCGGCGGATGATGATGGCGATATTATTCACGTTATGCCGAGGAAGGAGGACGGCGATGTTATCTATGTCAGTGCGGGGAAGAAGGATGAAGATGCGATGGATGTTGATGGTGAGAAGAAGTAGTGGCTTTGTGCATTTGTTTCGAACGGCGCCTAGGAGAATGTTCTCACTGTATTATGTACTACTGTAGACCTGGTGTGTCCTTTGGAGTTGCTATGAAGGATCGTCGACTGAGGAGTCGGACTATGTTTGTTTCTAGATACCCATCATATAGGGCTGTGTGTATAACGTGTATGTCAGGAGTATGAAGCGAAGTTGTTCGTGAGTCTCTCCTTCCTTGGCCCGAAGTCATTTTGGTTATTCACTTTTTGCATCTTTACTTGGGTCTCATATTGGCTCTGACACCACACTTGCAAGATTCTTTGCCTTTTACGATTGCGGCCCAATGGCTAGGCAGCAAACGCGGGCACGCTGGAGCCGTATATATTAGGAGATCTTCTCTCTGTTCTAGAATCATTACAGCTCAGTTGAGGGTACACATACCTACACGTCAAATATAAACACAGCCACAAGATGTCTTGGCAACTCTCCACTTGGCTGGATGCTCCTACCAACAGCCCCGGTACCTCCTTCGAGAACCCACTAGTCGACTTCCACGCCCAATGCGACCCCGCTGCCCGGCGCTACTACATCTTGGATCCCACTCGCGGTGTCATCCAGACGACCAACGCGGGCGTACCTGAGTACCCAGCGGAAACCTTCGCTATCCTCAACAGTAGCGGGCTTCGCATGCAAATTATGCCTGGTGGCCGGTTCTATCATATGAAGATAAAAGGTCAAAGGATAGCTAGCACAATCCTGTTGCGCTTGAACGACCAGAAATGGGAATTCATTGAAATGAAGACTGCTATGGTGGAGGCGGCGTCTCACAAAAGTATCTACTATGGTAAGATTGTGAAAACAACAAGTATCTAGGTACCTTGCGAGGTTACTAACCATATGCCAAAGACCCTGAGATCAAGTACTTCAAGCGTTTCAGACGCACGTCGCCAGAATTTTCTCCTGGGGAGGTTGATGGTAAGTTCGCGGAATTGATAGATTTCGTGTTAAGTTGCTAACCAGATGTGCAAGACCTCAGGCCCAAGTACACCAAGCGTTGAAACTTGATTCCAGATTCTTCATCTGAGGCGCTTGATGGTAAGTTGTGTTTGCTGCTTTCTAGACGTACATACTGATAGTTTGCAATTAGAAGGTGACGATACATGTCAAAACGATCGTTCAGTCAGTGCTGGTGCTGCTTCCGCTTCCAAATCTGGTGTCGCTACCTCCTAAATAGGACCTGTCTCTTGCCGCAGGCCATGATGGAATTTAGCCTTGACATGCTTCCGATCGCTTTTGTGTCACTGGAGTCAGCGTTGGTTTCATCTAAATACCAATGACACATGACTGCGCACATAACGTGCAGATCAACGTCCAAGTCTAACACGGGTGACCAAATACCTGCACGTCTGCTGAGTACGATTGGTGGATGGCGTTAATCGAAGGAAAGAACGTGTGTCCAAGTTAAGAGCCTCGGTACAGGGTGCCATTACGCTCCTGCTTCTCGCCGAGTCTCCTATCGTTGGCTTTGGTGTCGCGCCTTCCGCGATAAGTCACCGGCTCCCTCGATGTCCAACCGCGATTGCTCGTTTCGCAAGCACATGGTGTTGATTTGTCCGTCACCCAGCAAATTCGAAGTCTTCCTTGCACGACACACGACCACAAGCAGCAAACTCAAATGCTCGTTCGAATTATGAGATCCCTCGTTTCCCGCGCTGTTTCGAGCACACATTAAGATCGCCGAATCTCCTGACTACCTCGCCGACAATGCGCTCCTTCACTCCGCTATATGCTCTCTCACTTTGGCAGTGAGAGGCTTTGATCGAACGTCACCTGGACTTTGAGTAAAGGTCAAGGTGACCGCTGAGTATAACCACCTTGGTTGTATAAGTAACTAGTTTCGAGCGGGCTTATCGTCCTTTCTTTCTATACACCACTGCTACAAGAAGAGATATCACTATGATATACTTTAATTCCTAGTAAGTTCTCTTGAAGACACTGGCTGTTGTTTACTTTGCTAACTGTGTAGCAGAATTTATATATGCTACTCTCCAACCATCCAGATTAAAGAAAAGATGTCTGCCGCCGCCAAATCCTCTCCTCCTCCTCCTCCTCCTCCTCCTCCTCCTCCTCCTCCTCCTCCTCCTCCTTCTCCTCCTCCTCCTCCCCCTGGCGGCAAGTCCGTCGACAAGAATACTAGTCACAGTACTTCTTCGTACCCCAACCTCAAGATCCCCCTTTCCGGAGACGGAAGCACTCCCCAGTCCGCCGCCTGGTCAGGAGTCATGTTCCAACCCCCAAGTATCACCAAGAACTATGTAGTCGACGGCGTTGGCCTCTTCCCTCGCTACCGCCGTACTCGTGTCGATGAAGCGCGCGACTTTGCTCGCCTGTCGTATACAATCCTCGACGGTGAGACCTACGAGATCATCCCCGAGTCTCAGATCCCTCCCGGCCCCCTTGGTAACCCGTCGATGCCACCCGCTGCGGGTATCGTAGCTCAGATGCAGGAGATTTTCGCGCACGAGAACGCTCTTGCTACGGGTTCGGGGCCAGCAACTGATGCTTACAACGCGCTTCAGGCTCACCGTGAGTTTGATGTATCCCTCTCGCGTTATCATGGTTGACACTGTGTAGACGGCGACGCGTTTGTAGACGACAACTTCAATACTGGTAACTCATCGGAAGACGCTGCTGGTAAGTCCGTTCAATGATATACTGGACGACCTCATACTAATCACTCCTCAGAATCTTCTTCCGCTTCGTCTGACGACTGCTCTGATAGTGCCTCCTCTACAAATTAGGACATGGTTGTCGGGTCCGCGCTCTAACTTCGAAGCAAGGCCAAGAGTCTTTACATAACAATTTTCACTACCATCCTTCTGGATTCTATGAATTCGAATAGACTGGAGTACTCTCCATGTTTTCTCTTTCGATGGTAGACATTGCATGGCATCACGGCGTTGGTAGATAACCCTTGGATAGAAGAGGATAACATATGGAATAGAGAGTCGAACTCCGTCTTCACACGGCAACCGAATGAGACTATGGCCTGTGGAAAGATGACATGATATCCTTGGGTTTCCTCTTACATCAAATCCGATCAAAATGTGCGTACTACTAAGAGAAAACAGACGTTGTGTGACATGATGCGATTCTATTGTGTAATTCCACCAACGAGCCAACGTATCGTTTACATCCACTGCGGTACCTTACCACCCGCCTTGCTTTATCTTTGGCGTCCTCCCGTTCCGCAGGTCTTAGTAGGTTACTACCCTCACATACATACATCGATCTCGTTAAATTACACTGTGCTTTAGTAGTTGTACAAACTTGTAAAAGCTTATGCAATAGCTAGAGAGATCTAACAAACGTGCATGGACGCCTCTTATCTTTGCTCTTCTATCGTCAAGCAAGGAAAGCGCATTGCTGTAAGAGAAGCCGCGTGCATCTCTATCGCAGCATTCGTGTAGCGCATCCTCTCAAGTACACCCGCAAACCATAGCAAAAGCATGCTGCTTGCTTTGTACCTCTGCAGCTGTACTTGTGGCCTACGCATAGACAAAAACGAGTGCTGATAGCCCTCACCTCACACAGCCATGGCCAGGAAAAAGGCAAAAAAGATGTCGCAATTAATTGGCGGTACTGGGAACTGTAGACATGTTAGGAATGTCTCAGGACCACCAATGAGGGAATGAACGTACTCGAACCCAGGCTGGCGCGGATCTGGATCGGGACACTAAGTGTCCGCCAGCCACAACGCGACGTCATACCACTAGACCATACCACGATAGGGTCGTTAGTACGGTGATACGAGGAGTGGCTTGGAAAGCTGCTTACCCGAAGTGATTCGTTTTGATGGAGAAACGAAGAAAAATTGCAAATATGATGACGTTAAAAAACGTGGGTACGGCCATCACTCCCGTAGTCAAGTCTCCCATTGGCATCTGAACCAGAGGTCTGACAGTAAAATCTGGACGCGATGGCGGGGTCAAAAGGTCTGTGCTCGCCACTAATGGTGGGGCTGGTTCTCAGGACGCGTCTGACTTGCTCTTTCTTTACCCAATCAGTCAACCACCACAGAACACCTGAGTGCTCGAAATGTCCATAGGTATGTGATTGGAAGTGCTCTCCAGCCTCGGCTACGCGTTAAAAGAACGTGACTCTTCCAGCTTTTCCGTGAGTTCATCGACATTGAAGACTGCTAGAGCTCTGCATAATAAAGACCGCTTGGAGCTAGTACTGCATTTGGCGATTTTACCTGCGTCTTCAACGAGAGTGGACTCCACTAACGCTCGCATCAGAGCACTCATCACCCCGGCAGTCGCGAGGCAAGCCGCGCAAGTCGTATCGCGTCGAGGACAAATACTCGTTCCTTGATGAAGACGAGGACGGCTCTGCGCCCTCTGGCACACAGACACCAGCACCTGGAAACGGCGATGATGACGACGGTGATGACTTCATGCCAGATGCCCAAGAGGAAGAGGCTGAATATGAAGAAGAGGATGATGATGTGGTAGTGGAACAAGATGACTCGGCGGAAGAGCAGGTCAATTCCGACGAAAGTCCTGCACCAACTCCAAAACGCAATGCGCGTGCATCAAACGTCGTCCCCGCTACCCCAGACGTCCCTCCCAAACGACGGTACAATGATTCCCGATACAAGGACATGGCAGACAACATACCATCACCCGTCATATTCGCCAAAGGTGGCGGCGTCAAAGTACGTGTCGTCGATGCCGATACCCAATTACGGACGCGAGGTATTCCCGATTTCGACAAGATTGGTGGTCATGAGCCACGACTGAAAAACCTGTTTGGTCCAGATAGACATCATCTTAGACCAGTGCTTGAATCGAGGGACCATTGGTTTCCACAAGAAACTTTTCCTATCCGGAGTTATAAGAAGAACAAACCTGATGACGCTGAGGTGGGTAGCCTGAGGAGAAGCTTCTTCGAAACCGAAGGCGCGAGAGAGAAAGAAAATGAAGTGTTAAGAACATGGTATGCCAGTACCGGAAAGTCTGCTTTTGCAAGAGCGCAGATGACGAATATATTGACTGCGGATGAAGCAAGACAGTACATGATAACCCCAGGATCGGAAAGTATGAACGTATTGGCTGGACCGGTAAACACTCCCCAAGTCAACACCTTGGCAAAAGGCTCATACATGAACATCGCGAAACCCTTCCCGGGAGATCAAGAGCGACGCGGCTGGCTTTTTAACCTTGGCTCCTGGGTGCAAGATGCTCAATGGGCGACGAACGAAGATTCCATTACCCAATATCTTGCTGTTGCCGTCGAGCAGAGACCTACCGGTGGCAACCAGCCAAAGCCACTGGAGCAGCCAAAAGCGCCTGCATTCAACTCTACTGAGCCATTCCCTGCGTCGGTTCAGATATGGTCGTTTGAAGCCGACGATGTAGGCGACTTGGATGCATCGAAGGAGCCGCGACTGGAGCTGGTCATCTGCACAGACTGGGGTGCACCAAAACATCTTCGGTGGTGCCCGGTAGCTGCTACGGATATGACTGAAGAGACGAACGACGCAAGTAGCAGGCATGTAGGTATGCTTGCAGGTATCTGGTCCGATGGACGAGTGCGTGTCCTAGACATATCCGCACCTCCTCAGGCCGATACACACACTCCTACGTATCTTCATGTTTCGCGCGCAGCCTTCGAAGTGTCGTTCCCGCAAACAGTACCTTCATGCTTACACTGGCTATCGGGACATACACTCGCGGTGGCGACTGCAGCAGGCACTGTAGGCATCTGGTCTTTGAACCGCCCAGGCACACTCAGGTCACCTGACGCCACACGTCAAAGCCCCAGACCCTGGTTCTATCAGCAATTAGCAGACACATACATCCTGACCATATCCTCAGGATGGCCATCCAACCCGCAATTCTTGTCTATCAGCACCGCAGATGGTTTTGCGCGTCTCTTCGACCTGCGGAGCCCGAACGCCGACACTACTGCTTCGATACGAGGCCGCACACTCTGTTTAACGCAAGCATGGCACGAGCATACACAATCCTTCGTCATGCCTGATGAACACTACATACTAAGACACACACCCATCCGTCGCTACTACCACAACCTCTACAGCATGCGATTAGAAAACAGCATCACACGCGTCGCGACAAGCCCTGTACACCCCGGCGTTCTCATCGGCGGAGTCGATGGAGACATCCAAGCCAGCAACCCTATCATGCGTATTACAAACTACAAAATCATGCCATGGCAGCAAAAATGGTTTGTCCACGAGTGGAGAGGACCCGTGGACCGGATGCTAGTCAAGCCTGCTCAGGATGGAGATGTCACTATGGCTGAAGGCGGGCCAGTTGAGCAGCCTGGCAACGACAGCGTACCCGAATTGCAAGCTGGCGAGCCAGCTGATGGAACCAAGAAGGTGCCACAAGAAGTACTCTCGCAACCTCTCGTCCGCATCACCGAAGGCTACAAGGCTGGCCAAACAGGCATTGCGCACAGTACATCTGCGAATGCGACGAAGAGGGGCAATCCAGAGGTGGGAAGGTCAATCAGTATTTTTGAAGAGCTGACCGCTATCACAGCGCTCGCTTGGAACCCGAACCTGAAATTCGGCACGTGGGCTGTTGCGGGTATGGCGTCGGGGTTGTTGCGCGTGGAAGACGTTGGTATCTAGGAAGGAGAGGTAGAGCTGCTCTTGCGGTATTAGCAGCTCAGAAAATGAGACAGAGTGGCTAGGGGCTGTTTGGACCAAATCACTGTGCGAATTCGAGAGAACGACGCGAAGGCTTCTATAAAATACATTGCATTGCTCCACCAACTCCTTAATCTAATCCGACTACGACGCTATCTAATTCACAGCCTTGAGTTTGCAGATCAAAGGATGTTTCTCCCAGAGGATGAATGTTTTCTGCTCAATCCAATCGCGGCTCTCGGGGCAGAGCTCAAGATCGAAGTTGTAGAAGACTTTGGCGGCAAGCAGGCGCATCTCGTGGTATGCCATGCTAAGTCAACTGTTAGCTTACTATAATCGGGCATGCGAAACCAGAGCCAACTTACTTCTTGCCAACACAATCCCTCGAGCCAACAGAGAACGGCTGAAGACAGTGCTTCTCATCGCTATCAAACTCGGAATCGCCCAACCATCTCTGCGGAAGGAACTCCAAAGGCTTCTTGAAATTCTTGTCGGACGTGTACATGGCATGTTGCGGGATCGAAACAATAGTGCCAGGTGGTACGTATTGGCCTACAACGGTACTGCCGTCTTGCGGTGTGAGACGCGGGAGTCCAAGAGGAACGGGCGGGTAGAGACGGAAAGCTTCTTTAATACAGGCAGCTAGGTAGGGTAACGCAGCGAGTCGCTCCATGGTCATGTCAGCGTCGCTGTCGAACGCGCTGCGGATCTCGTTGTTCAGCTTCTCCATGCAGTCTGGGTTGCGCAGGAGCAGGTATGTCATGCCTGAAACTAGCGTTGCTGTTGTTTCCGTTCCGGCGATCATGAAGAGGGCGGAGTTTGCGTCCATTTCGCCTCGGGTCAGGCCTCGTCCTTCCTTTTGGCTTAGCACCAGATCCCATAAATCGACCCCCTCGCTATTGAGGCCTTTTTCAAGGCGCTTTGTGACGCGCGTCACGGAGTGGTTGAAATGGTTCACCCGCTTCTGGTTGAAAGACTCGGGTAGGCATCTCTTGAATGCCTGCCAAAACCAGGGATACGACATTAGGATGCCGAAGTACGATTGAACCTTCAGACTGCCAAAGATGATGCTGACCCAGGGGTCGTATTCAGCATTGTCGAGCATATGCAATGGTTCACCAAAGGTCAGATCACCCATGACATCGAAGGTGGTGAAGTTGTACATCCTGACCATGTCGATCTTCTCGTTTGGATCCTTTTCGATGGTGTTCCTCAAGACAGAGACAAGTTTGTCAACGTACTTGACGAAGAGGGGTTCTTGTTGTTTCAAGGCTCGATCCGAGAACGCGGGTGTGAAGATTTTGCGCTGACGACTGTGATCTTGGTCGGACGAGACGACGAGGCTGATTGCACCGTTCTGTGGTGTGGCGTATTTGGACCAGGCCTTATGAGGAACATGTCCTACCGTGCCTTTCGAACCATGACCGTAGATCTGGCAGGTGGTTAGTCGGCGTTGAAGAATGCATGCTTTGCCGAACATCCAAGTAGGCAGCAAAGAGTTCCAATTCGAACGTGGAACATCGATTGCGCATTCAGATGAATCTGTATCAAGGTACGCAAAACTTACATCTTTCCAGGAATTTGGATCCGTGAAACTCAGTTCGTCGTGGTTGATACGGACAACATGCCCATACTTTCGATGTAGGTCTTGGAAGACTTTGTCTCGTGTTCCTTGCCAGGCAGCAATGTGGTATGGAATTCGTGTCGCAGCGTAAAGTTTAGGTCCAGGAAAGTGTCGGAGAGGATGGAAGTATATGCGGTAGATGGCTCTAGCGATGAAGCGGAGAACCAGCTATATCAAATTAGCAGCTTTCACTCTGATAAGATTCAGCGATACAAGGCAGAACTTACAAAACCAATTAAAGTGCCAAAGATATGCGGTATCGAGGCGTTGTTGAAGACTTTCGCGAGCCCTGAGGAACCGTTCGCCGAGGTTGGAGACATGATGCTTAGACTTCAGCCACTGCACGATGGTCCATATGAAGGGCACGCGCAAGCTTTAAGTACAGACGAAACGCAAGTACTACAATTCGTCGCACTAAAAGGAACGGAGTAGGTTGGCGCGTGCCACGCCGAGACGGGCCACTGGCCTGTTCACCTAGTGTCGTTGACGTTGGTAGCCAGGCACCCAGTATTAAGTGATGGGCTGTAGTAGCCCAAATGCCCCACCTAATGAGGTATTTGAAGCGACTCGACCATCCGACGGGAGGATATGTCCTACGATCATCTCCGGCTAATCAGGATCATTAAGTTCACCAAGCACGCACTCCCTCGGAGGGTCGGAAATAAGGTCTGGCAGCTGACTGTGGGGTTGAGCACAGCTTTTAGGTGTCGTACATCCAGGCGCAACGTGACATATGAAGCCTGCCAACCTTGGAAATGTGTTTCAGAGTGTGGCAGGTTCCCACAGGACACTTTCGTCCGTTCAAGACTCGACTGTCCCATCGCTCGGAGAATTAAGTTTGTACTCTGCATACGTAGCTGTGGGGAAATCGGGTGATCAGCATGGGTACCCTTTCGGACCTTCGAATCGCTATCGCATACGCATTCGGAGAAGGCCAGTGGCAGATCTGTACACCTCGTTAGAAGCCATTCCCAAAGTGCACATTCGAACATCGCAATCGAGCACATATTGCGAGAAATGTTAGTAGCAGCGACGTGCCGTCATCCAGCCACCGTTATCGATTGCATGAACCACCAACGTAAACAACCATGGGTACTCGCGAAAAGAGTTCAAGCAAGAGCGCGATGCCCAGAAGTAGTCATCATCTAGAAGTGTGTAAAATTAATGCAAATCAACATGATTCGCCCGTGGGAATGATGGAGTTCAGTGACGAACTAGTCTGGGCTGCAATCGACGTAGTGCGGCGCACCGCCTTCACATGCGCAGTCTTGGCCCGTGCACCTATCGGTCGTGACTTCGCGTTGAGGCGTTTCTGTGACAAGAACAACAAATCGACCCCGCCCACCCTTGCACGTCACAATGGCAGCGATCCCCGCACGCAGAGGCGTATCCGCCCTGCTCTCGGCCTCGTCACCCAGAACAGCCTCAATTGCCAATCAGATACAGCAACGGAGCTTCTCTTCATCCCCCATCTTCGCCGCATACGCGACCGCACCAAGACCAGCAGCGACAAGCACGACTAGCACAACCGGTACCTCCACAGCCGCGAAACCAACGACCACAACATCGACCGCAGCGAAACCTGCAACCACAGCTACCACACAGCGAACAGTCCAACCGCAGTTTGTCGCCAAAGAACCGCCCGTACCAACAACACGTAATGCCACAGCAGAGACCGCAGCGTCAGCAGCCCGTAAACAACGTTCGCTGACCGACGGACTCTCCGATGCCCCACCAGAGCTCGAAGGCGTACCAGCGATAGACTGGACTCGGTCATACCACGGTCTTGGCTCTGTATCTTTCACACCGGAACAAGGAGAATTGCTGCTTGCGCCCATTACACAGGATGACGTGGAAGTGAAGCCCGATGGTATCATATATCTACCTGAGATCAAGTACAGGCGGATATTGAACAAGGCGTTTGGACCTGGAGGCTGGGGACTCGCACCCAGAGGCGAGAGTATTGTCACGGGAAAGTTGGTGACGAGGGAGTATGGACTTATTGTGCAGGGACGGTATGTTGCTCTCCTTACCCTTTGAATACTTCAGCCAACTTCATTCTAACAAAACTCTAGTCTCGTCTCCATCGCCCGTGGCGAACAACAATACTTCGACCCCGACGGCATCCCCACTGCGACCGAAGGCTGCAAATCAAATGCCCTGATGCGATGTTGCAAAGACCTTGGTATTGCGTCTGAACTCTGGGATCCGCGCTTCATTCGGGAGTTTACGAATAAGATGACAAAGGAAGTGTGGGTGGAGCATACGAGCACGAAAAAGAAGAGGAAGATTGTGCTGAGGAAGGACGATACAGCCAAGTATCCGTACAAAGAGGTGAAGTTGTAGATGTGCTCTGAGTTACGTTGGGGAGCATATGGCTGGAAGGCGATAGACCCAATCTTAGATGTCTCAGGCGTAGAACCCGCACACAGCCAGATGTGGGTGTATACTATGTTGTAACATCACCAGGACAACAAGTCCTACTCATACTCATGAATTGGGATACCAAATATACACAGCTTCAGTGTACCTGTGAAGCCTAGCAGAATGCCATCTACTATCTTGCCCAAACGCCGTGAAACATCACCATCATATCCCCGATTTTGTTCTCCAGGGATATTCTCCTAGCGGTCGCCTAGATCGAAACCAGAAGTTCTTGATCTGTTCCTCACATCACTTGGCTCCCTTCCATATGCCAGAGGATCGTCCCGAGGGAGTTCCTGACGCTGCCAGTTCCACGGCATCCAGCCACTGCTTGTCCTTCGACCAAGTGCGGGTGGTGTGAGGGGGTACGGTGGTCGGTCGGAGCCCGAGCTCAGCTCGTCGCGCTCGATCCTGTCGAATTCCGCTTCGCTCCTGTTGCGGGAGAGGCTACCAGAGAGACTTCCAGTACTCCTGTTGACTTCGTGATATCTGCTTCCGCCTGTTTGCTGTGTGCGGATGTTTTCTTGCTCGCGGTCGAATGCCTGCAGGAGGGTCTCGAGGCGCTGGCGTTGTGACGCAACGTAGTCGAGTCGGTCGTTGTTGTTGCGGATGGAGTCTGGGACGAGGTTCCCGGCGCCGCGGCTCAGATCTGAGGCTTGCGCATCTCGAGTGCCTGCGCTACCAGCACCGTAAAGTGCGCTGGCTCCGCTGAGTGCCTGGTTGACAAGCCCGTATAGATCGTTGCTGCCCCTCGCCGACGGCATCTGGAACCTGCTCATGAGGTTTTGTGCGTATGTTTGTCCTTCAGGTCTTGGTGACTGCGGCTTTCCAGGTGCGAAGCCCAGAACGTTCACCTTGACCCACTCGATGCCCATCTCGACATATGCCATGCCTGCCGACTTGGCACGATCATGACTTTGTGTAATGAACTCGTCGATTTCTCGCTCATGGTGGTAAAGGAAAGGCTCCATGTACTCCTGGTACAGGTAGTTTGCGCCCTGCGAACCGGGCAGGATCAAGTAAAGGTGTGCGAAGAAACGAATCCATGAGTAGAAAGGCACCCAGCTGAGAATGAAGTCGAAGGTGTTTTCTACGGCGGTGAAAGCGGAGAGGACGACGAAGTAGATCAGCCAAGGTGCGAGAAGGGCTGGGTCGGAGGTGTGAAGAGCTTTGTAGGAGGCGAAGATAGGGAAGAAGACGGTGGTTGCAACGCTATCGCCATATTAGCTAGATGCTCTGCAAACACATCGCAGCAAAAAGAAAATACTGCATATTGCAGTCATGCGAGCTTCAAGAAAGCCAGCGGCGAGCTCACGATAGCTCGTCAGGCCCAAAGTTTGTTGGAGAATTGACAGCTGCAGGCGGGGGCGGGGTAATACTTACGTCAAACCGTCGGCGACAAAGCCGAACATGATTGCAGTCGTTGAGCGTCTTCTTTGGGTGGAGGTGTTTAGGTGAGAGATGCAGGCCCAGGACCTACAGGTAGCGAAAGCTCAAGCCTCACGGATACGCGGGCGGAGGTGTGGAGTGGCTCAGGCTGATGATCCATCCGATGTACGTCAGTCGTCAGTCGGCGGTCAAGAGCGGCGCGCTATCCACTTTCGGTCCTTTGTGTGTGAGCTTCCGAACGTCAGCTGCTGCGAAGAGAGTCTAATCGCGATCCTAAGAATTATAACCAGGGATATGGGTCTCTCACATTTACTAGCTATACGCGGGTGCCCAGCATTCTGCTGTTGGTAGTTGCGGTTGCGACTTCCCCATTGAACTCACGTCGCGAACGCGTGTCAACCAGATCATAGCAGCTACCACTACCACTCCAAAATATGGTCTCTTTTTCGGACTCCATCTCTTCATATCGCCCTATATTCACCACTGCTTTGATTTGCTTCGATACCTTTCGCTTGGCTGTCTTCAGCCGTGTTCTGGTGCCCTGATAACAGGCAGTAGCTGCGAGTAGCCGCGATAGCATCATCACGATACTGTCTCTTCTCTAGCGACTGCACGATGCAGCTACTATATCATTCTCTTTTTCGAAGATTGGATAAACAAAGATGCCGCAGGTTTAGCGAAGGTTCGGCTCGTCTACATATCTAATCGCGCTCTGAATCTTGTCGCGGTCATTCATCGTTTCACGCGCCTACGTCCGATACTTGTACCGCGTCTACAATATTCGCCTTACAAACATCCGAAATGGCAGGCCGGGGAAACTACCAAGACGCTTCTTATGCTGCCATGGCGCCAAGATACCGCTTATCAGAGCTCTACGCTCGATAACAGCTCCGCACCCCGCGTTTGCGGCCGTTGTCGCGGTTGACATCATCCCGTTCCTCTCTAAACCGCGGACGAAGAAGCTATCGTGAACAATGGAATGCGGCAAGGGTTACGTAAAACGGCTATCTTCTCCCCCGATATCATACTATGTCTATTAGTATGCAACGGTCTTCTTGGCTTGTGCTTGTAGTTCCTCTACCGCGAGTAATACTCCAGTGAAACGTCTCCAATGGACCTCTAGAAGACATGACTTCTTGGCTTCGCCAGGAGACAACATCCCGTCTACCTCGAAGCGAGGGAAGTAGAAGGCCGAACGACGTATGCCAATCTTTGAGGATCCGTATTTCTAGTAGGACCCTGTCGTACGATACCTCAATACAGTGTAGGCACTGACTAGGGCGAAATTCCTCGTAGCGGATTGGAGAACATGTCCGAGATCCAATGGTCGTGCTGAAGGTATAAGAGTAAGCGAATGCCCTTGGCCTCACATGTAGCAGTAACTTCCTCGAGGTGTCAACACCCACACCAAACGCAGACATGGTCGTCATTAAATCTCTAGCAGCTATCGCATCTTTTGGGTTAACCATTGCAGCACCGCAGGCTCCAGTATCATCATCGGCTGTGAGCTCTCCTAGCCCATCGGCGTCAAGCTCAGCGACCCTTACCACTGAGGAGACAGATAATCTGTTTAGTCTTCATGAAGAGCTAGTCAATATCCCGTCTATCTCTGGGGATGAGGTTGAGTGCGCAGAGTTCATATCAAAATATCTATCGGACTTGGGGTACTACGTCAAAGAGATCCCTGCTGGAGACACCGGAACTTTCAACGTCTTCGCTTATCCTCAAGAGCTCAAAGATGAGGGGGTTTGGCCGGAAGTTCTGATCACTAGTCATATCGACACTGTAAGAATAATCGACCTGAGACATGCTCCAACAATAGCGTCTGACACAAAATTAGGTGCCACCATTCTACCCATTCGAGCGCAAGGAAGAGAACGGTACAGTCTATCACTTTGGTCGTGGCTCAGTCGACGCCAAGGGCCCCGTAGCAACGATGATCATCGCATCCCATAAGCTCTTTCAATCCAGAACTGACACGCCCAGTCTGGGAATGCTATTCGTTGTCGCTGAGGAGACTGGCGGCGCCGGAATGAGAGCCTTCGCTGAGTACGCTTCCAACACTACTTTCCGAGCAGGTATCTTCGGCGAACCAACGGAAGGCAAGCTAGCTAGTGGACACAAAGGATACCTAGGCGTGAGCTTGGACATTACAGGCCGATCTTCTCACTCCGCGTACCCCTGGCTCGGCGTGAGCGCCGTCAACTATCTTGCCGAAGCCATTGTCGGACTGAACATGCTCGAACCGGCTCTACCAAGGAGTGAGCTGTTGGGAGCAACGACGCTCAATGCTGGACTTGTTGCGGGTGGCGTCGCCAGCAATGTCGTTCCTGACAAGGCTAATGCAAGTATCGCCGTCCGCATAGCTCGTAGCGAAGACGATGCTGTCGACGTTGTGCAAGACATGATTGCTGGGATGCTCTCGCCTTTCGAAACCCGCGCAAAGGAAGAGAATGCTACTTTCGAAGTCATCTTTTCGAATGCTAGGTACCCCGCGGTCATTCTCGACACTGACGTTGAAGGCTTGGAGGTTGCGCCTGTGTTCTTCGGAACGGATATTCCCAGCTTGCCGCAAGTGGAGAAGAAGTATTTATTTGGCACTGGTACTATTGAGGTCGCGCATACGCCTGATGAGATGTTGAGTCAGGAGGAACTTGTGCAGGCAGCGGAGGCATATGGCATGATTCTTGAGAGTCTATTTTCTGAGTAGGAAGATTCGATCAGATTGATCCGGTGTAGGAAGTGGATATCACTGTTGAAGTACTATACATGTGCAGTATCTCAGTACGCTCAACCATATTGATGCCTATTTGCTCCACGACAACATGCTTGTGTGACACTGATCATATTACACTCGTTTGTGCAGTAATGTGGATGTTGGAAACCAAGTGAGCTTGCTCCAGGAGGTTGTCGTAGGCGTGACATGGGAAAACAGCCTGCCTAAGCCATATGCATATCAGAAGTAAGCGTAGAGAGCTATATATGACCTCGCATCAGATGTTCTCATAGTACATCAGCTCACAACCTCCACTCCGTCTCTTTCAGAGCGGAAATTGAGATGATGTCAGGGGCGCACCATCACCGCTTCCTCCCTGATGTCTCTCCGCTCTTGAACCGCCTGGCCCTCCGCCGCGAACTAATACCGTAATCGCCCCTTCTCCAAGTGATGGCTGTTCGCAACGCTCTCTCACCGCGCCTTCAGACCTTTCATTGAGGCACTTTTGCTAAGTGAGAGAGGAAAGAGATGGCGCCATAATGCACCTGACGCCTGAAGCAAACGGTCTTGGGCTCCTGTCTTCGGAACTGATGTGTCCATATAAACCGCCGATCTGGTTCCTCCTTGACTCTTTTCTTGATCAACAATAAATTGATATATACAGTACATTTCGACTACTACATACCTCTTTCAGACCTCGAACACATCTCTTATCCCAAACCTTCGAGTCGACTACTATATACACCTTTCAGACCTTCAACACTTCCTCCTTACTACACGTTCAAGTCGAAATGTCGAGCCCTCCTCAATATGGTCCTACTGCCCTACCCCAAGGTGCCAACGACGGCGGTGATGGGTCTACCATGGACAAGGCATCCTGGGTTGCTAGCAGCAACAAGAACGCGAGGAGCTTCATTGTACTCCAGGGCAAAGACTATGTACGCTGCAACATGGGCGATGCTCTCCAGTTCTACGACACCGGCTACCGTGTATTCGACCCGCCTACTGGTCGCCGAGTGAAGTTCCAGTACACGGGCTCTGGTCGTCCCCAGTTCGGCGCTTTTGCCCACCAGTACTGGGAGATTCAGATGGAGGAACACGCCTCCTTGGTGAGGCGTGATCGCTTGCCTGGAGAGGATCTGGGTGAAGGTTAGTTCCATATTAATCAAGAGGAAAGGATAGCAATACTGACATGTTACAGACGCAGAAGAAGAGTACGAGGTTGCAGGAGATTCTGCGTTCGACCGTGTCGAACAAGCACCTTCGACTCCTTCAAAAGGTAAGTAGCAACCTCGTCACATCTCTCTTGAGACCGAGCTAATGCTAATACTTTCAAGATACACGTGGAAACCTAGCTATCTCTCCTCCCTCCGGTGGTCGCGGTCGCGGCAGTCCTTCAACTCCACAAAGCCCCAGCTCTGGCGGTCAGCCAGGATCTGGCCGTGGTTCAGCTGGTCGCGGCTCCAGTACTCCTCGAGGTCGCGGCTCAGGCGGCTCCAGATGAGGTCAAGGATCTCCACAGTCACCGACGTCACCCTCTTTCGGCAAGGGCAGGAGTCCGGCTGGCTCTCCTAGCGCTGAAGCGGCTTGAGATGGAGGGTGTTTTCTGATATCATACTTTATATTTGCTTTCTGGAGCCTCGGTCGGTGAAGGACGTCTTGTATTCGGGGTCGATCTAGCAAGGCGTTTGGGAAAATGGCGAATACCCCTAGACTTTTGAGATAGACCTCGGAATTATACACCTGGTTTTCCATCTGAAGCCGAACCTGAAACGATAGTGCTGGTGAGAAGAATGTGATGCCAGACTGCGTCCAACTCCGTGATATCTCATTGAAGTTCTCCACGCGTCATTTTCGTGATTACTTCGTGACCTGGAAAGTACACGAGGGTCTTCAGGCATACGTAGGCATACGTACTGCGATGATCTAAAAAGTAAACTGCCGAATACGTGTCTGCGCTAATAAGTACCCGAGGGTCCATAAGCGTCCTCATGCAGGGTACCGCGTCGATGTGAAAGCATGATGAGGCATACATGTTACTCAGATCTGAAGGTATTATTGACAAAAAGAAAGTCTACGATCCCTCGATGTATCATACGCATGACGCGGATGAGTCGTGATGAAGGCGTCGAAAGGAGGCTGAAGGAATGAGGTCGGAAAGCGGCCGAGGTGCGTTCCGACAAAGGCGCAGGGCGTGTCTTGGAACCCGAGAACGCGTAAAATACGACCAACAGATTATCGCTTATCTGATGCTGCATCTGACATATCCGTGAAGCTTCTGTAAGCCTGACAAGATGGTGAAACCACGCGGACCGTTCTCGGGAGGGATACACCTGCCAGCGACCTCGTGCAGCGTGCCTGCCACGCGAGCAATGACGTGCGACGATCTCCGACGAGCGCGTGCGTGACCATCGCCAGGTTGCTAAACTTCGCAGTTGACATACATCATCCCTTCTGGCCTCCGCGACATTCGCTGTGCTCCATATTTATTTCGTACGGAGCGATCAGCCACAACTACTCATGTCCTATGACGCGCCTGTGGCTGTTGTCCATTGGTCGTACCGGTCTCCGCTGGATCCGCTAAATGCTGCTCACGCCTCGCACCTACTCCCTCGCTCACATCGCCGACACGGGCCGCAAACGCCCTGAATCCTCGTTCTTTGTGTGTATACAGTCGCGGAAGGAACGCGAAGCCGAGGAAAAGCGCGCGCTGAAGATGTTGCTGTTGCATCAAAAGGGGAGCGTCAAGGTGGGAGAGGTTGTGAGGTAAGTTCTCAGGGTCTGCCGGCGGGATGCATGGACGCTGTACGCACTTTCTATACGAGATGGACAGGGCGCGACAACGTCTAGGGAGGTCATAGGACTGGTTACTAAGTCGCCATGCAGATATACGCTCACATACACCCCCTCCGAAGACCGCATATTACCGCCTCCTTCCTGCCTCCACGTTCGCATACGAAACTCTTCCGCCATACCATTACGCGCCGCATACCTCCACGGGCCATACACGATTCATGTATCCGCCTATCCTTCAACATTCAACCCGAACAAAAAGTCCGACGCAACCTACGGCGAGCCTGACTTTGAGCCTAATGTCAAGGCTGGCGGATACTGGAACACCAAGTTGACTGTTCCGGAACAGTACAGAAGCGACATTAAGGAGGACGACGGCACCCCGAAGAGCCTCACATGGATCATCGAGATCGCGTCGCAAATCATCTTCTCCAATTCCGCGTCTGTAAACTACGAATTGTTGGTGGCACGCGACGAACGATCGCTGGACCTAGGCTTCACTGCTGTCACTGGCAATAGCCATGGAACGCCAGGGAAAGTGCAGGATCACCAACAGGGCAGTCAGAAACATGTTTCGCACCATCCGGCACAGCCTAAAGGGGTATATTCGAAGGCGGTTAAGCTAGTGGTTGATGACACTACAAGCTTGTGGAATACACCGGAGCTACCCGAGTGGAAAGACGCGGACGAGGTCCCTTCAAGAAAGTCGAAAGATCGCAGTAGTCCGACGGAAACCCGACAGAAGAAGAAGAACATACACCTTGTGATAGTAACGCATGGTCTACACAGCAATCTCGGCGCGGACATGCTATACCTGAAAGAGAGCATTGATGCGACGGCAAAGCAAGCGCGAGAAGATCGAAGACGGCGGCGAAGAGAGGAAAGAGGAGCCAAGAAGACCGAGTCAGATCAGGATGCGTCGACAGCACCATTGTCGGGCGGTCAAGAGGACATACCAGATGATGAGGAGGATGACGACGAAGAAGATGTGATTGTTCGTGGTTTCGACGGCAACGTAATACGTACGGAACGAGGCATCCAATACCTAGGGAAGCGACTCGCTAAGTACGTGTTGAACCTGACTTACCCTGATCAACCATACCTGCCAATCAAGAAGTCCATGGGACAGAAGTTGTCTAATACATTCTCCCCAACAAAAGACAAGCCAGACGAAGGCATACCGGCCCATCATGGCAGCAGTGTGCATCACACATCTTCAGGGCACGACAAGCGCCCATACAAGTTTACAAGCATTAGCTTCATCGGCCACTCTCTTGGAGGACTGGTACAGACGTACGCAATCGCGTACATCCACAAGCACTCACCTAATTTCTTCGACACGATCAAGCCCATCAACTTCATCGCTATGGCGTCTCCTTTCCTGGGACTGAGCAATGAGAATCCTACCTATGTCAAGTTTGCTTTGGACTTTGGTCTAGTAGGAAGGACAGGTCAGGATCTCGGTCTTACCTGGAGAGCACCGACGTTGGCAAAGAGTGGCTGGACGGCTATGGGCAACGTTTTTGGTAATCAGACCCAGGATCAGCATCAAGAGGATCCCGGCGCAAAGCCGCTGCTGCGCATCCTTCCTACTGGTCCGGCCCACCAAGTCCTACGAAGATTTCGTAACCGTACCTTGTATTCCAATGTTGTCAACGATGGTATAGTACCATTACGCACAAGCTGCCTTCTGTTTCTAGATTGGAGAGGCTTGGGTCGGGTTGAAAAGGCTCGCAGAGAGAACGGTCTCATCGGCACAGTGGCGGTATGGGGTTACGGTCAAATTACTGGACAAAACTCTTCGCCCAACCCCTCTAGAATTGGATTCTCGGATGATGAGGGTTCTGGGGTCGAATCGCCCACCTACAACGGCAACGACACCACCGTACCTCTACCAGGCGCCGACGTTACAAACCAAGAAGACGAAGCGCAAGTATCAACTGCAGAACCAACAGCCCATCAGGCCATCGAAGGTGGGCAAAAGAGTCCAGAAGGCAAGGAGCCGAACGACCAGTACTTTCAACCGCAAAATACTTTGATGCAGTGGTGGAGCTACATCAGGCCGACTGGAAAGCACACTTCCCGCGACAAGAAGATGTTCAGTCGTAGTCAGACCATTTCCAAAGACGAAGAAGACGAGCTGTCTCCGGCTGAAGCTGATCACGCGACGTCGTCACATAGCGCACAGCCAAGAAAGCGACCTCAAGCAACCCGAGGAGACTCCATTGTCGATAATCCCAAAAGCCATCTAGCACCACCCAAAACCACCATCTTCGAGTCTGCTGGGGACTTGATCAACCCTCCTGTTCCTCCCCAATCCTGGATCACAGACCCATCCACACGAGCACGCACCATCTTCCATGACAGAATCTACCATCCTGAAGACATTCCACCGCCACCTACGAAAACGAAGCCAGCACGCAATTTCTCTGGTGACAGTACTGCTTCCAAGGCATCGACAACAAGTGTCGACGAAAGTGTGATGCGCGTGGAAGAGAAGATCGCTCGCGCTTACCACAAAGACCTTTCTTGGCGTAAAGTACTTGTCAGCCTTGAGCCCGACGCTCACAACAACATGATAGTACGTCGTATGTTTGCTAATGCTTACGGATGGCCTGTCGTCAAGCATCTTTGCGATACGCATTTCGCAGACACTTACTCGGCGAATACGCGGGATGAAGAGGAGCCCGCCCTTGACCGTGCGCAAGCCGTGAATAAGCCCATTACCGAAGACGGTGAACATGTCAAGGGACAGGAGCGATTACAGCCGCCTATTGAGCGCACTGATAGTGAGATGAGGGAAGTCGCCGACGAACTAGCTCCGCTCAAGCCGCCTAGTCTGAGGATACCCAAGAGATCGAACACGACCGACTCGACCCGTAGTGTGGGGTCTGGCGATTGGGACAGTATTTACTTTGGGGAGACTAGCGACGAGGAGGATGAAGTGGACGATCGTAACGCTGTCCAGAAATTCTTCCAGCCTAACATGCCCAGAAGTCCTCGAAGTCCTTCCGGAGGCCCACCCAAGACACCGGACGGCAGAGGCACAAGCGATGCAGACATCTCCGACTTTCTCCATGGATCCAGCACAGTTGAGGTTCACCGAGGTCTTGGTGCAAGTCCAAGCAGCAAGTCGGCTAAGTCGGCCAAGTCAGCTACATTGACCCGCGAACCGGACTCAATGGAGTCGACTGACGACCCATCCAAGGCTTCTGAGGAAGCAAGACCAGTAACCCCTGCTGGTAGGATCAGCGGAGTTGGGTTGAGGAGTTCCATCGATATTCCTGCGTCGCCAGAGGCCGGGCGAGCAAGAAGTGAGAGCACTGTCACTGAGCAGGTCGCGAGACTTAGCAACCCCAAGAGCGACAAACATACAACGGGCTCGTAGCATGGAGTTCGTCGGTGGTTCAGACAAGCGATGGCAGGCCTTAGACGCAGGAGTTCGAAGTTGCAATGTCGAGACAATATCCGCGTTTCTAGCGTGTAGCACCCGTTCAAAAAAATTCCCTCGTCTACACTTCGACTTCTTTTGAAGGTCAGTCAAGCGCTTTCGGTCTCGGGTGCAGTGGGTGTTACGTGACGTTGGGTTTGAGATCAATGCACAGAGACGGATGCTACACGAGCGAAGTCATGGATCGTAGCACAATCGCGTACACAAAGATACCCCCAGATCTTATTACATGGTTTGTAGGAGCAAAGGTCTTCTTTTTCTCGTAGCATGGTTTAACTCTATTAACTCTATAATTCTCTTTGCCGGGGTCGTTCTTTCCGTCGCTACATGCTCTATCCCAAGTCTGCGTATTCTCAACAGACGTCACCGTACGTAGTAAACATATCGGAAGCCACTGATTCTCTCATTTCCTTCTTCACTCGCTGATCTCGAGTTTCTCCTCGCTCACGTCACATTTATGCCGCGCCTTCCTCATTCACTGCCGCTATTGTGCGGCAACACGCTCCGTTTGTTGGTGGACAGAGCTCCAAGCTCGGTTTGTTGTGGTCGAGTCACCACTTGAGCGGATCACCACATTCCACAACCACAACCCGATTGCGATTTCCCAATGCACCGATAGTTGTCGCGTTTCTTCTTTGGTCTAGGTCGGTGGTTTTGTTCTGGGTTGATTGCCTCGACACACTCGACTCCGGCATCTGCACCAACGCCAACCGGCACTACCCTACAGTGCACGACAAGATACCTCTTTTGGGATAATGGTCGTTCCTGATTCCGCCAACCCCGCTTGGAGCATGCGCCCTGCCGCCGTGATGGTTGGCGGTCAGAGACGCCGCAACACGCGCCGTTCCAACGCACCGCGCTCCAACACTACGCCCAATCTCGGTCTTGACTCACTCGCCGGGAGGGAGAATGCGAGTGGTATCACCGCAGCACAGCATACGGATCAAGTTGAACATTCTCATGTTTCACCTTCTTCTGCGCCTTCAAGTCCTATGGCCAACTCCTACGCACACAACGGTGGCTCTCCAGGCGATCGTCATCGCCCTCTCCCATCGCGCCCATCTGATGGCTTTTCGAGTATTCCGGCCGCCCATTCGCCTACACCCACAACAGGAAGCGCATCGACAACAGTCACGGAGGCCAAGAAGAGGCATGGCAAATTCGGTTTCAAGTCAAAGGATCAAGACCGCCCGAGCAGCTCCCATGAGCCTACTCTCCAGCTGTCGCCTCTACCGCCGTTGACACCTAGCAAAGCTGCACAACTGCTGGGCGTGGACCCTGGACCTAGCCTTGGTAGACCCCGGAGTACCTCTGTAGGCCGTCCAGCTCAAAACGATGGCGGCTACGATAGCCTACCGATACGCCCGGTATCGACAAGGCGAGGATCTATGTCGGCAGTAACCACTCAGAAGAGCGCATCGAATAGGCAGACGAGATTCACTGAAGAGGGCCTTGACATGGAGCTATCAAAGCCCAAGGGCTTCTGGAATAACACTAACCGGAAAGCTCAGCGAATGTTAGGCTTACTTCCATCTGCTCCATCCAATGCTAGCCGTGAAGCTGATATGGGGCGCATCGCAGCTGTTTCTCTAGCGCGACGTCCAGAAGAACATACTGATACATACCGTAGTAGCGACGCCGAACGCCATGGTCAGTTCCGTTCGCTCCCACCAGTTCCGCCCGTTGTTCCCGAAGCTCCGAGAAGACGTATGCGCAAGAAGCTCCCTAAGGAGCTCGATAGGATGGCACCCATTACGGAGACCTCACACGATGAGCTGCGCACTTCCTACAAAACCGGCGAACGTGATCCTGAGCTGAACGCTACCTCCGAGTACGCAAAAGCTCCCCCCAAGGCACCGCTATCTCGGTCACGTAATGAGTCACTGCTCACAACAGATATCAGGTACGAGTTGGAAGAGGACGACCTCTCGCTCATAGACGAGGTCATTGATGAGGCAGCTCAAGACGAACAAGAAGACTTCATAGCCCATCCTGGTAACGAGATTGATGTCAAAAATGGCGCAACTCTGCAATCTACAGTGTTCCGCCTCCGCGGCCCACTGCAAATGGTTGAAGACCGTTTGCTTGACGAAGCAGAGGCGCGACTAGCAGTTAGCAAGGCTGTGCAAAACCAAAACGACGTTGATAGACTCACTCTCGACACCACATACGCTACCCTGAAGGTGTCTAACGAAGCCATGAAAGCAGATTTCGCAGCCGCACAACGTTGGAACGCCGCCCCAGAAGAGTGTGAGCGTTGCGGTGGTGCGGATAGCCAGGTTGACAGCGACGACGACGATGACTTGATCTCTATCTGCAGTAGCATTGACTTGGACGAAGAGCCCACCGTACATGTCGCAACGTCCGTACCATTCATGCGTGTCACACCCGGTATGGTGAAGCTTGTCGACATTCTGCCTAGGAAGAAGAAACCAGCTGTACCGCCTGCACCACCTGCACCACCTGCACGAGTCGCGCCGGTTGCACCGCCCAACCCGCTGCCCATGCTGGCGTTATCTAGTCAGCTTAAGGCGCCCTTCAGGCCTACGTACTACTTTCAACATGACGAGAAGATCAGTCCATTTAACGAACGCAGTGAGCATGTGGAGGTGCGTAAGTATCTCTCACCTACTGCAAATGCAACTAACGAAGTCCAGCCTACCGTAATGTGTGGCCCCCTTTCCGCTAGCGAGTTCAACCGCCTCGACAAGGACAAGAAATTGAAGCTGCCCCGCGACGAGTCACGTCTTCTTGTCCAAGACTGGATGTCTGACTACGACCACACCAAACAACGCCCTTTATCCGAACGTCTCGACTTCGATGTACTTGCCGATCAGCAAATTCCTCCTGCCCCGTTCCCCAAAGAAGACCACGCTACACCTCCTCATCCGCCCAGGTCCTCGTCAAGAGAGCACTACTGCCTCCATAACGGCCATATCTTCCACCCCATCAACCTCAAGACTGTACCCGACGAGGTCGCCATCAACAGCTTGGAAGTCCGACCTTACCTGCATACCTCTGTTGGTTACAAACAGCATGTCTCTGTTCCTGTTTTCTGTGACCGGTGCGACGAAGATGTCAAAGAAGAGCTCTGGGAGTGCGACATTAGTGTCTGCCGTATGGGAGTCTGTAAGCAGTGTGCAGAGGATATGGAACATGAGTGGCAAGAGCGTGTTGCTGATGCTTGGACTCACTAAGGGTCGCACATTCACGGTATTTGCGATAAGCGACGACGTGCATATGAAAAGATTGGACAGGAATGTAAGGTTATCAAGGGGTGCGTAAAAGTAATGAGGAGATGAGAAGATAATGTAAACACTCGACGATCACCGTAGATATAATATGATGGAGTAATGACTCTATGATCGATGCGCCAACTTTTCCTTGCCCAGAATCATAGTTGGCCTGAGCTTTGCACTTTTGTATACTTCTGACCCCAAATCCGCTCACAAAACCTTTCATGTCGCCCCAGAAGATATCCACCAGAAGACAGAGAAATCTATCCGTTCAGTCCTGAAACTCCTTTGCCTCACCCAAAACCTTCGTCTCATCATCTTTCTCCTCCTTGATAATCACACAGTCCTCATGGCCCTTCTCTTTTCTAGCCGCAGCATTTGCTCCTTCCCGAACCACTGGCCTGAAGACTTCCTTCCTCTTCGCAGCCTCACTCCTGCCTCCACGTTCACTTCCACCACTCACGACCACCGGCGTCGAACTAGCAAAATACGCCCCTACAACCCCCAGCTGCCCCGGACCCGCCTGCAGTCCATGAATGAACTCATTCCTCAGATCCCTATGCTCATTAAACAGCCTATCCCACGCGTCCTTGAGACCCTTCGAGGCATTCGCATGGTACCCCGGTAGCGAGCGCATGATAATAGAGTTGGGGTTCTGCTGATGAGAAGGGGGTTGCGACCAGTAGGATGTTAGGATGTGGAGGAGGAGGTTGCGGAGGGGGGAGGGTGTTAGGATCGTCGTTATGGGAGAGAATGAGGGTGTGGTCTCCCGCCATACGTGGTCGATGAGCGTGGGTGTGAGGGCGAAGTAACAGCCTATACCGGAGTAGATGTGTTGGATAGTGTGGTTCATGAAGGAGAGGGCGCCGAGGCGTTGGGCGAGGAGCCAGGCTTGGATCGAGGGCGGGATGGTTTGCGGAGAGGTTATGTTGTGTGGAATAGGAGGGGGTGGCATGGTCGTTGGGACTGGGCTTTGAAGGTGGGTGAGCGGGTGGCCTGGTATGGAAGTAGATTGTACGTATGTTTGGAGCGGAGTCTTAGAGGGTAGTTGCTGAGGTGTTACGGGAGGTGCTGGAACGGGAGTTGTCAGTTTTGTGACTGCTGTTCGTGGATAGCGATGAGAGTTACTTGAAATCGGCCTCGCGTCGATGTTGGGTGGGTATGAGTCCTTGTAGATGAACTTGAGGAAGAGGCCAAAAATGGCAGGCTCCACATCCGGTAGCGTGATGATATTTCCCTTGTTCATTGTGTTATTCTTCGTAGTTTCTTCCTTAGAAGGCTCTCTATCTTCCTCTTTTATCAGCACCTTATCGTCTCTCGCATTCTTATCGTCCTGCAAAGTGGAGAGTTTGCGCTTCTTGCTAGCTGCGTGGTCTTTTGACTCTGTGGCGTTCATACGAGCGATTTGATCGCGGAAGTAAATGGAATGAACGCAGAGTAAAGCAGCAGGAAGGGTGTAGGTCCGAGATGATGGGTGTTGGCCCACGACGACTGTGACGGAGTTGCCCTGGATCCTTATTGATGTTAGACGAGCCGCTTCAGGCTGCGACATCAGCTGCTTACATCTCGAGGAACATGTCAGAGTAGGTGAACTTCTGCTGAGGTGCCATTGGTGGAGGTGGTCTAACGTGCGCTGGCTGTAGAGTGGTTGGCTGTTGCACGGTGACGCCCATTCTGGCTTTTTGAGTCGCTTATGAACGAATTATGCTAGAAGGGATTGACTTTTAAGGTACAAGCAGGTTGATGGAGGATGGAAGAAGCTTCTCCCACGATAGATGACTTATATACATGACGGAATTGCAAGAAGCTACCCGATAAGGGTGGCGATCAAACGTGGCTGTGGAGAGTGAGAGACAACTTCGCCTGGATCAGGGTGAGACCGGTCAGGTAAGACGATATTGCGGCATATCTATGTCATAGGGCAGGTACCACAATGAGTTGTTGGTGGACAAATAGTGCTGTTGTCTCGGGCTCATGGGAGGGAGAGAAAGTTTAAGGGTCATCTCCATACACTGTGGATCCAGAAATACTTTGCGACAAGACACATGCCATAGCTACATTCAACTGCACAGTGAACGCGTTGTGGGGTGTATTATGTCGTTATTTAATTCGTTATAAAGTAAGCGATCCGCCTTTAGGGTACACTACCTGGGTATCAACACTGACTGCGACAATCGCCCTGACAACCTGAGTTGTTTCGGCTCTTGCTGCCTTCCGAGTACAACGTGGCATCGTCCAGGATGTCGTCCAACTCCACATCATCTTTCCCTGTCCTGCGGAAACCAACCTTGGCCGGGCATGTCACGACCGAAGAATGTTTGTCGCTATTCGCCATCGAGCTACTCTCCTCCATCTTTGTGAATCCGCCACGGTTGCTCGAACTGTACGTCCTCTTGCTGTCCGTCCACCTATCCACATCCTGGCAACGTGTAGCTGCATCGCCGAAGAGGTTCTTATGTTGTAGAAGATTGACAAGGCGGTTGAGGACAGAGAACTCAATCTTGAGCTTGATGCTGTAAATTGCCGTCTTGTATGTGGTTTGGATTTCGTAGTGGCCGGAGAATTGAACTGCGATAAGCGTGATGTCGAACGCCAGGACTGCGACATTGACGATGATCAAGTGGATAAAAAGCTTTCGTAGAGATCCCCGTCGTCGACCACAATCTCCATCGAGCATCTTTACTGTTCGATAGATGTAGATGACAGATATGGCCATTTCTACAGGCGTACAAAGTCAGTTTATGTCTCGCATGCGGCTTGGATAGAAACACTTACCCTGGACTGATATAGCAACAATCTGGACCTTGTCATAGATCTCGAATCCCGGGAGAAACTTCGCGGAGTCTTTGGAGTTCGCTCCCATGGCGAAGGTGAATAGAGGGACACCGAGAGCGATCGCGGTGAAGATGATCATATAGAGCACCCATCTGATCTTCCTGGCGTCCGCGACAACAAGATGCAGGCGTGAATACAGTACAAGAGACTGTCCCGGGCACATGGTGACCCAGCCCACACCGATGATGGCGCTCGAGAGCAAGTCAAGCTTCGTGACCTGGAAGAACTTGAGGATGAACCCGATGGCGTGAGGGGCGATTCCTCCTGTTGCAATGAGCATACTCCAGAAGTATAGCCCACGGCGTTGTTTGAAGACAGCGAAGATAAGGAAGAGAATCTCAACCATGTTGTACATTCCAATGGCGAGGAATGCAGACATGGTCATAAGGATAGGAAGACTGGCCTGGACACCGCCAGTGACGCCGGACTCGGAGTCTTTGTCTGACATGGTGAAGGTAGTCAGGTGTCTCTCCGTCGCCTTTGTAAGTAATGAGATGAATGAGGGTGAGGTAAAGAGCGCATTCGTTAAGATAGCGAACTGAACTGGAGAATCCGATATCCACGTGGAATCCTGGGGTATTTCAATCAAAGAGAGTGTTGGTGGCCTTGCTGATTGACGCAGAGGCTGCAAGATGCTGATCAGCGAACATGTTGCAACTATAATTCAGTGTGGTTGCAGTAGTGGCAGTCGGTTCACCATGAGGAGAACGCAAACAGTAGAAGGCGTTGCGGACACTACCCCAGAGACTGACTCGGTGCATGGATGCCTGACGGGTTCGTGGCGTTTTTGGTACACTTGGCCATGTCATGAACCATACAGCTGAAGACAGGGTCAAGACGGGGGCGCGGATTTGCAAGCCCAAATGCTAGTCCCTAGTGATCGTTGATTGGGCCCGGGGGACCTAGTGGCGCATGACATGATCGTGGATTTCCACAACGGGGCGCCGGATCTGCTTCCCCATCATCGATAACATCGGATCAGCATAATTTAGCGAAAAAGCAACCAGTCGGAATCCAACGACCAGCCCCTCGTGCGTTTAAACTTACCTTGCTGCCCAGTTGGGTTGCACCTGTACCTGAGTGGTTTCTTCGCTTTCGCGTCAAATCGGCGACTCAACCGAAGCGAAACTCTGTCGGTCGCCCCCATCATGGAAATAAACCCTGGGTAGATTATCGTCCATCTCCGTGCCGTTCTGCGATATTTCCAGAAGGGATCAACAGGTATAAGGCGTCCATGTCAAGAGCTTCTGGTCGTTTCTTGCATATGCAGCGCATGAGAAGGTTTTCACTCACATTCTTACGCTGAACAGCGAACCACTCGTTCTCTTTGCTACAACCACCTTGCCACGGTATTCGCCGAGAGCATGAGGTCCGTGGACGGCTGAGCATGCTGCACCGGTCCCGTGCGCCCTAATATCGCCAACGCCCTTGGCCCTGGTGTTGCGGCATCTTGGGCTTGCGCCATCCCATAACCGCAATGGGAATCGTTGATAGCGATGGAATTTGGTTCACACAGCCCCTGCATGGACGCGAAACGCAGTATCGCAGCACCAAGAATATGCGGCTCTTTGTCGGCGCTTTTGCCTTCCAAGACGGACTATAATCGCTTCGCTCTTGTAGCCCGAACCTATCACTCGATGTCAGCTAAGCTACATGTGTAGGCCTTCCGTGATTAGTGCAAGCTGTCAACACTTTAAACCCGAATAGTAAGGTACGATTGTGGGAACAAGGGATTAGTGAATGGATTCACGGACTATGCTACGTGGCTGCCCGTGTCAGAGATAACTTGAAGTTGCTCAGGAAGAGTCGTGAACCGCGTCATCGACGATGGCCGTAACTCTATAACCGAATGCAACCCAACAAACCGCTGGAAAGCCTATCTAGTCCCAGCAACCCGGAAACAAAGGTGGCAAGATACAGCAATCGTCATTCTATAGACGGTATCGCTAAAGATGTCCGTTTAGACCTTGGGCTCAGTGTGAACATTCTCGACATGACCGTGGTCGTGGCCGAGACGTCCAACTTTGAGGTTACCGGCCTCGATGTCGCGGGTGACACGGTCGAGACGCGACTCAACCTTGCCAGCCTTCCAGGCAGGAAGACCAGAGTCGAACACGTCGTCCATCTCTTCAAGGGTCTTGCCCTTGGTTTCCGGGGCAGTCAGGAACATGTGAATGAAGGCAACGGCGTTGAAGGTACCAAAGATCATGTACATCTTCCAGTTAATCGACCACAGAAGAGGGGGAACGGCAAAAGCGAGGATGCAGTTCCAGCTCCAATTGGCGGCGGTAGCGAGAGACACGGCCTTCGCGCGAACCTTGGCAGGAAAGATCTACAGAGGTAGACGAAGTCAGCGTACGTTTCACATGGATTCCCCACAGTCGGAACTTACCTCGGACGGATACGTCCATGACGTTGGGCCCCACGTGGTCGCGAACGTGGCCACAAAGAGGTATGAGCAAGCGACAATGCCCTTGGAAACGGCGCTGTGCTCGCGAGGTACCACCCAGGAGATGTCTTTATCGGTAGTGTCTGGGTTAGGAATACCGTAGGAAGCCTGCAGAGCACCTGTAGTATACAGCCAGACAGCCATCATGAAGGATCCGCAAAGTAAAGCTGGGCGACGACCAAACTTGTCGAGATAGAGGATAGCTGGTAGGGTCATGGCAACGTTGATGATGTACTGAATTGATGCAGTGAGGAGCTCGTCGGCGATACCCGCTCCACGCATGATGAAGACGATGTAATACATCATGATGTTCATACCGCAAAGTTGAGACCACATCTGGATGGACATACCAAGGATAACACGCTTGACGATGCGGGGCTTGGCCAGAGCGGCGAAGCTAGTCTCAGCAATCTCACGCTCGAACGCAAGCGCCTCTTCGATCTCCTTGTATTCGGCAAGAACCTTGGGGTGGTTGACGTTGCCGGCGCCGTGGAGGTTGGCAAGAACATGGAGGGCCTCCTCCCAGCGGTCCTTGGAGGCGAGCCATCGAGGGGAACGAGGGAAGAAGAAGAATCCGATGAAGAGGATAGCGCCGGGAACAGCTTGTACACCCCATGGGATCCTGAAGGCCGCAGTGCTCTGGTTCGGGTTGTTGACGCCTCCATCGACGAAGGAACAGCCGTACTGGATGAAGTACTGGATCAAAATACCCCAGGTAATGGCCTGGCTGGAGTCAGTCTGAGTTCCATACATGTATCGAGAAGTGACATACCCATTGTTGCAAGGACACCACTCTACCGCGGATTTCTTTGGGCGCAATTTCGGCCTGGTAAACTGGGACGATGGCGGAGCAGATACCAATGGCGTACCCACCGATAAGACGACCAACACAGAGGAGAGCAACGCCGTTGGAGGCGGCCTGCAGAATTGCGCCAATGATCCAAATGAGAGCAGCAATCTGGACAGCGTTCCTACGCGAGAGGCGATCGGCGAGGAAGGAGGAAGACAGAGCACCGACGAGAGAGCCCGCCGGCATCGACGCAGTGATACCACCTTGGCGAGTGCCGCTGGGGTTGCCAAAGTAATTCTTGTACGCGGGAGTACCCAGCGCACCCGACATCGACGAGATATCGAAACCGAAGAGGATACCACCAAGCGCGGCAAAGCCGCAAATGGCGTAGACGTTGTAGATTTGTGGGAACTGTAGCGCCATTGTTAGCGAGTGCACTCCAGAGCAATTGGGAGAACGAGGACATACCTTCATCTTGCCAAGTCGCTGTGACGAGTATGGGTTGATAAAGTTATGGGGCGATGTGAGAGAGAGAGGACAGTCAAGAGCTGGGAAGCTGCAGATTTATGGTCCCAAGAGCGCGGAGAGAGCGAGTGATCCTAATGGAGGCAGTCTGTGCGGCAAGTCTTGGGATTTAGTATTCACTACAGCACTCTTTACCGCCCGATTGTAGCCTTGCTGACAGCAGAAGTGGTTGGTTACATGTGAGAGCATTGTGACCCCGCAAACCGGTGTTGAACCAGGGCGTATGCAGATCTTACAGGAAACCGGCAACACATCCTGGGGTAGTGCATGCATGGGTGGCCTCCATAATGGTTGTGCATAACGGCGTCCAATAAGAGCAAACACCACGCCGTGTTTGTTCCCAGTGCAATGGCACCTGCCAATACTACTCCGGCCCCGTGGTGTTGCACTGGCAAGGCGTCCAAGTACTAAAGGCCAATAACGTTGTGGAATGGAAACCGCCCTGATGTGTGTGGCACTCCGCAGGTGTAGAGACAAGGACATGAGCAGGTACTGGTTATCATCTCGGACCATAATTGAATATGGAAAATCATCCGCAGATGATGACCTTCGTGTTCGAACCGCATTCAAGGATCAGGTACTCGGTTCCGCTACGTTCGAACGCTCAACTTTCCACGTGTTGCTGGACATCAACTGTAAAGATAGACCGAAGCGTGAATCCTGCGCTGGCCTCAAGCCTGGGCGGAGGCGCGGCATCGCACGATCTTCTCACGAGCACAATGAAGGTGAAATCTTGGGGACATACTTGTCGGCCAATTTTTGACATTAGTAATACGTACACAGCAAGCGAAAATGCTTTTCCAACCCTCGAATACAAAGTGATGCATAGAACGCGCTGGAAGTGCAGTGGTTTTCGAGATGAGATGGCAAGAGAGGCCAGGAGGTTGCGATCGCGACGTAAGAGGCGGGAGGCGCCAAGCATGCAGCGGCGCCGCCAACTGTCGACCCCAGTTTTCGGCTGGCTTTACTCCGCGTCCTGGGAAAAACCAACACCAGCGAACAACTCGACTAGACCATGGGAGTGGCGTTTCTCTGTAAAGACTGCCTAAACAGACGAGCGCATCGAGTGCTGTTTTGAGCAACACAGCCGGCGATGTCAGTTAAGGACAGTTCCGAGGCCTCTCTGCTGACGGGCGTGCGCAGCATTGTGGCTTGGTTTCGAAATCGGCGAAGCCAAGATGAGATCCAAGGAGAGCAATTCCATCAAGATGCGGGGCTCGTTAAGGATTACTGCATCTTCAAGGTGCCTTAGGTATACCCATGACCACCGCGCGGATGAGCCTGAGCACAACCAGCAATTCCGTCCGTACAAGATGGTAAGAAGCGGCCACAACTTTCTCATTTCTTCTACAGCTTCCGCCTTTGCAAGACGTACGACGCGCCATTGCATCACAAGCATGCTCCTTTTGGCGGCAATTCGCGTCGATGAGATCTTAGCAGCTCTTGTGTAATTCGGGGCGTTCTCCAGATGATACTGATTCCTAACGCCGGGCCGTGTATCTTCGCTTTCCGGTATGGCATCCACTGCCGAGCCCACGCTTCAAGAGTGCATAAGGGGAGTAAGAGTTGGGAAAAAAACACGACTGCTGGCTAAGTATACCGAGTATAGCGACGGCCGCATACGAATGTTGTCTTGACAGCCTGACTGGATCTAAGGTAGGTCTCGGAGCTTCGCTTTTGACCGTCCAGCCTGTACTACATTTCAATACGTTGATATGGTGTGATGATAAGCTCACCCTCATCAGCCATCCTATGCGGGTCCTAGGCACTGTTACTAGGGTTCTACTATCCCGAGCTTAGCTTAAACATTGGGGAACAGGGCTTGTCCGACATGGATGGTCTTTCTCGAAGTTTCCGAAAGGGGTTTGTAACCAAACCGATGGTATTTGTCGAGCGGATACCCTTCGGAAATTTGAGGGCTATGCTGCAGGTACTTGATAGCTAAGTCTTGTCATATACTGACGCTGAGGACATGAGTTGGGCTATGTCGCGACATAATGAAGTCGCACGTCTCGCAATATCCAATCCAATTCGGCTTGAGCCCAGACCATCAGGCTGAAGGTGCCCTTGGATTGTAAGAAAATGGACTCATCCATCACCATGTAGCAGAAGATGTTGGCATCACTCTCGAAGAGAACGTCAGACACACGCGCTACATACTACAGCCTATCTCGTTGGATTCAGACTGCGCCATGAAAATCTTCTATTATCGTATTACCTCCTTGACTGACTCCGAGGAGTCTGGAACATTTGTCAGCACTCTTGAGCAGCATCCCAGCTTCTTGATTGAACCTGCCAACTTCCGCCATCTTCGGCGACATCCACATCCGCTTCGCTTCGCTACGAAACTCGGACCTCAGTATTCACACATCCCCTAAGTTTGCATATCCACCCATGGTCGTCTCCACGCTCATCTCTGAAAAAAGCAACTTGAGTACCTCTCAGGTGTCTAACTTGAAGCTTTCGGCTTCTATTCGCTGCTCACCGCGAGTAAGCGAACCAGTAGCACGACGCGACACCACACCACCTACCAATCGCAACGCGCATCACAGTATCGCACAGTTATGGCCTCGTCACAGACCAACATCATCTTGGAAAACGATGTTTTCGAGTCGTACCGCACCCAGACCCCATCGTTGCTTTCCTAGTTGGGCCTTGACTATTGGGTTGGTGGAGATGGCAGAGTGATACTCCTGCATGAGATCGCGTGGGTGGACCTGCTGACGCGGGCAGCTGCCCTTGCTATAAACATGACAAGATGTCATATGTCTACATGTACTAGCAGGTACGTACTGCGCATCAACACCACGACTCTGATATACTCGCTTCCGCTTTCTCGACGTCGAACCGCCATCAAACCAACAAAGCGACAAAGCCAACGCCAGCCTTTCATCAACTTGTTGAGGCTTACCGTGGCGAACCGCACAGGACTGTCAGCACGCGTGCAACGGGCCGCAGCTTGTGCTAGTCCCACCAATTATCACGACGTCGGTATCACTGGCCATTTGCCTCGGCAAACAGTACATATCTCGCTCCCAAGCTTCCAGCCTGTTAGTGGAGGTCGAAAGAGGCAAACAACGAGGACGCATCGCGCACTGCCCTATCAGGAAGTAAGCGTGGGATCTCCAGCTGGCATCGCCGCTGCCGAGACCTGGCGACAACCCTCTGGACAGGCGGTGAACTACACCGTGCTCTCACCTGTGAGAATCGAATGGAAAGCGCGAACGGCTGACCCTCGTCATAAACGAAATAAATCACCCATGCAACGGCCGATGATAGACATATCATTCAGTACACTGCGGAGCTTTTCATCCTTGAAAATCCCGATATCTTGACAAACACCCTCGCCTTCTTCAGTCTGCCGTCGGGTCTCCACCGCCGTATAGCCGATACGATTTCGCTCAAACATATACCATCCCAACACACTATTACCACCAGAAGCGTCAGGGTCACCATGCCACACCACATTACCAACAGCGTCTTTGCACGTACAAGCCTAACAACTTGCGACGTCTTCGTCATGGCTCTCGCACACTTGGATCCCCGAACAGCGCCATCACCAGAAGAACTAATCGCAGCAGCGAGTCCATGGTTCCTGGACGCGGAAACAGTCTGGTGGCGCAAGTTCCTCAACGGCACAGGATGAGAAACAATTTTCATGGGACTATGCCATCAGACATCATTTCTGTTTTACTGGAATTGGCCAAGGTATTCACGCTCCCGAATATATTCGAGTCTAGTACGGTGCCTTCAACACAGCATGCACATACGTCTTTGTGCAATCACTCGCATTGCCCCTCCAGCTCAAGACCTCATTACTCAAAGCACCCTCACATATCGTCCAGCCTTCCCTCTGACCGTCGACAGTCAAGAGGTATCCCTCGTCCAACGCGATATTGCCCGTTGGCTGCACCGAAGCGAGGAACTGCAACTCCGACCCAGTTGTCACAACCGTGCTGTTGAAACGACGATATGTGTTACCGAAAGGCGCTAAGGCGATGGTGGAAAGCGTCCCGTCGGTCAGAGTGAAGTTGGGGAGCGAACCGTAACCGGGGCCTGTTAAGCGGAGGAGAAGAGCGGGTTGGTGGAAGGGGTCCTGTGCGATGTTAGATATTCTGACACGTTATTTCGGAGCGTCGCTGTAAAGACTTACAAATAACGAGGTGGCGGATACAGCTTTGAGTTCGGAGGTATTCGCACTAGCATCTATCTGCGAGGTGGTGACGAGAAGGAAGTTGGTCAAATCTGTTGGCAGCGCAGCGCAGATGGATGCGCTCGCTATGGCGAAGGAGAGAAGAGATGAGAAGCGCATGCTTGATTGCAATAGCAGCGATGACAAGACAAAAAGACACACAAATGACTTGAAAACCGGCAGAAACGTCGACGAAATGTTTCGTAATAAACCCACCAGCGTTCCACCCCTCCTACCTATATATCCTCAACCTCGAGCCCGCGATATTGGGACCGAAACCCTGCACGAAAAAACGACGATCCCACGTCCCACAAAGCATGCATGCATACCATCATAGGCCACCGCGCGATCTATCAAGCACGTTTACGCGTAAAGCGTAACCTACCTGAAGCTTTTCAGCCACCCAATCGTCGCCGTAGTTCGCCACGTCCGGCCCTGGCCCTGCTGGTCACCGGCTATGCGATCCCTGCATGTACAGCTGAAGATCCGTTTGTTAAGCTTGAGCTTTCAACATTAGGGACCAACCGGACGGGGATGGGTGGGGGACACGAAACATGGGGCGAGCTAGACTTTCCAAGTCGGCTGGTTGCTGACGTCTGAAGAAGTGTCATTGGAACCACGAGTGTAAAATCCTATGTTAGGCCGAGCAAACAATATTTCAGCGTCAGGCTTGGAATGGGGAAGTTGCCTGAGATTGAGGCATGGAAATGCTGTGGCTGGTGGGGGTCTCCACTGCGTCATCGCATTGTCGCGTGACTAGCGTGGCCGTAAGGAGCCTAGTTTTGCCGGTTGGCTCCACTCAGTACTTGTGGCGACGCGACGAGGCTGTGGTGGTTGGGTTGTCAGGTCCGCTCGAGTGGATAGGGAGTAAGGTAGGTACGGAGTACCGTGTGTCGACATTATGATAGTCTCAGGGTAATACAAGGGCATGGCGGTGGCAGTTGGTGCCGCGTAACGCAACACTAGAGTCAAACATTACCGACCAGAAGAGAACGGATTGGAGAAAGAATATTAGCATATTCTTGTCCTTGTTTGCTACTATCAAAGGTATCATACAGGTCGCTTGAGTGAAACTTGGGTATGCCGAGCGCCCACCAACGCCAAAGTAAATGCCGATTTGAATGAATTGTGATCTGTGTCTTCCGCTGATGCGCATTACCCTACTATCCTTGTACTATGCCCTATCCTGTGATGACCAGTCTGTCTAAGCAGGAGTCGCGATTGCTCCGTCGCCTAGTACCCTCGCGACTAGGATGTACAGCATCATCGCTCCGAAAACGATCCTCCACTTGTTGCGGCTCAGCCAGCCTTGACCTGCATCGCGCGCTATTTGCGCTGCATCCTGAACAACCGTTGCGCTTGTGCCGGGGCGCCGTCGCAGACCAGATACGTCGGGCGAGCAGGCTGGCTGCTGCGAAGGGGTTGGTGCTGCCGGCCGTGGTAGGCCCGTGAGGGGATCGATGCGGTTCTCCTTCATCCACTTGAGATTCTCCTCGTCCACGTCCGGCCACTCGTGTCTGAACTTTGCGCCACCATCTCCAGCCCTGATGTTGCCGTTCTGGCGACCACCGGCGTTGTCTGACCCAGATGCTTTGCTGCCGCCGCCTGTGCTGTTCCACCACCGTGTGCGCTTGGCGAAGAGTTTCCGCTCTGCTTCTGATGCCCGGACGCTACCAGTAGTAATCTCGTCGCTGGTCATGAAACTCAGCAGGCCCGTCAGAATCGTGCTGACCTCCCATGCGGGGTTTGAAGCTCTTAGGATGGAAGTCGGAGATGCTGAGACACAGCCGGCTGCTGGGCTGGAATCGACCGGACGGTGTGTGCATGCGGATTGCGGGCGGCGCAAAGGGATAGTCGGGCGGGAAGTTCAGCGTGCCCCAGTACTGGCCGCCGTGATAGGGTGTGTCTGGTGGGCCAGTGATGATGTAGTGCCATTCTAGGATGTTCCTGTCCGAAGGGTGCGCAGTAATGAATGGAGGTGGTGATTTGGAAATGGAAGCGTATTCTCTTGTAAGGCGCTTGGTAGCTGCTGGTGTCGCCATGGTGTGTGTGAATGTGGGGTAAGGGTGAGTGGGTGGTTGTAGTCGTCGACGTGTTCCTGAGCGGAGATGGTTGACGTCGACTATCTGATGCGCTGTATAGGTGGCGGCCAGACAACAGTGCAGGAGGTGTGGCACGTTTTTTAGTGACTACCCCTCGGTGGACAAAGTACGAGAATCACAAAGGCAGGCGCGATAGGTGAATTAGGTCGTGAGTGAAAGAGTTTGGGTCGCCCGTCTAGACGACCTTGGAACAGTTGGAGAGTAAGCGCACGTGCATCCGCCGCCCGCGGCGATCCAGAGTTCAAGGTTTCTGAACAACGCCAAGCATCACGCACGCAGACACAAACAGCCCAATGGCTTCGCCGCATGAAGACGATGTGAGTAGGCGTGCATCATGTCAGTAACGGCACATCGCTAATTGGGCCTCAAGGTCTTCGAAAGGCTCAAGAACAAGACGGACCTGAACGAGCAGAAGCGCCAGCAGGATGAGCTCAATGCGCGGCTCTACGCCCAACAGCAGAGGTCGAAGGAGAGGCTAGGAGAGCTGGTATGCATTCTGGACATGCAATTGGGGCTGTTGCTGAGGCTGTGCTAGATTGAAGACAACTCGTCCCTGCCGGTGACGATATCGTCGGTCCGCATCCTCCACGCCAACCGCACACGAAGGACCTTCCTCGAGCGAGTAGTCGACCCTTTGCTGAGCGCAAACCGGGACCAGCCATACACCCTCGAAGATGCGATAAAGGAAGTTGGCGAAGCCACCGATAAGCTCAACCGTTTTGGTACGTCAGTACGCGACAGAGGGGCTTGCATGTGTCTAACATTGGCTAGGTATCTTCAAGTCACCAATATCAGTCTACCTCGACCGTCCTAACCAGACCATCGCCTCTTCCTCCCCCACTGATGTCGACGTGTACATCTCGGCCCAGGAGCGCGGCAACTACACCATCAAGACTGGAACCGAAGCTGGAGCCTCTGAAGCCGATGCCTACGTCCACGCCGAACTTCGAAACTTGCTTGGTGGAGCCGAGACGCTGAATGCACACGGATCGCTGGGCACGCGAACACGGTCGGCCTACTCCCTCGCCTTCGACAGTCCCATCCTCAGCAACCCCGATCTCAAGTTCCAGGTCAACGGATTCGCGAGTTCGACATTGAAGAGCTGGGCAAGCCATGAGGAAGTCCTCAAGGGCGGAAATTCGAAGCTGTTGTGGAGGATGAAGAACGGCGCGACACACGAGTTTGGCTACTCCGGCATCTGGCGACAGGTGACTAGTCTGGCTGAGAACGCATCACCCTCTGTTCGCGCAGACGCTGGTGACTCGTTCAAGTCGAGCATCTCGCATACCTGGGTCAACGACAAGCGCGACTACCCTCTCCTACCTAGCAGCGGCTACTTCTTCAAGACTGTATCCGAACTCGCAGGTTGGGGTCCATTGAAGGGCGACACCGCATACTGGAAGTCAGAGGCAGAGTCGCAAGTTGCTCTCCCCTTTGGCAACACAGGCATCACGCTTACTGCTGGTCTTCGGGGTGGACTTCTCTACCCCATGACTCTGGGCGGAGAGAGCCAGCCACAGGCCTCGCGCATCAACGATCGCTTCCAGCTCGGCGGCCCCAACAACGTCCGCGGTTTCCGCATTGCTGGTCTTGGTCCGCGTGACGGCGCAGATGCACTAGGTGGCGACATCTACGCTGCTGGTGGCGCATCGCTCCTCCTCCCCATCCCCCGCGTCGGCAAAGAGACACCTCTCCGTCTCCAAGCCTTCATCAACGGTGGCCGGCTCCTCGCACTCAAGAATCCCAATTCTAAGAAAGAGGACGGATCATTCGGCAGCTCAAGCGACGTAACTGGCGCGATTCAAAAGTCCTTCTCCAGTCTGACAGCCGAACTTCCCAGTGCGGCAGCTGGTCTAGGCCTCGTATACGCACATCCCGTTGCGAGGTTCGAGATCAACTTCTCTCTCCCACTTGTTATGAGGGCCAAGGAGGAAGGCAGGAAAGGACTGAGCTTCGGCGTCGGCATCGAGTTCTTGTAGACACAAATCCAGTTGTGTAAATGTGTATTTGTAGGCCGTATAGACTTTCTTCTCGAGCAAGCAGATCACTTCTTTCTCATTCATACTCATGTTCACATGTCTCGTATTCAACTCAAATATCTACTCATACGACCAAAAGGTCTAGCTGCCCACCAACTGCGGCCCCTCAAACACCTTCTGCGGATCATACACACCCTTAATCCCCACCAACCTCTCGTAATGCTCACCCCAATACCTCGAATGCGCGTCCGCCTTGGTAAGATTCGTATCCGCATAATTGATATACATGCCAAACTGCTCGCCCTCACTCGCCTTCTCAATCACATCGACCCAGCCGTTCAAGAACTCCATCATCTTGGGCGTATACGTCGCGCTGTCGGGGAAAATGCGGTCGTTGAATTGCATCTTGAAGACGGCGTTGCGGTGCGAGTATGACGTTTCGTCTGCGGGTACTTTGGAAATGGCAGAGCCGGACCCGCCGTGCATGTCGATGAGGAGGTACCATGAGCGACCCCGGATGTTGCGGGCGGTCGTGAAGTAGTAGTCTGCGAGGGCGGTCATGGCAGCGGGGGAGAGGTACTCGGGCATCAATGACTTGGCGTAGAAGTTCTCATGGTAGTCGTATATTTCCGGTTGCGGCAATGGGCCGTTGGAAAAAGATGTCAATGTGTTGATCCAGCCTTTTGCTGAGACGGTACCCGCACCGCGTCCCTCCAGTGGGATGTTTAATTTAGTGAGCAACGGGTTCATGATGGTATCAAAGGCGCTGCGGTTGCCGTAGTATACGCCGGTTAGTTGGTTGGGAAGGAACATGCGCATGTTTAGTTCCGGGGGCTGATCATGGATGGTGAAGTTTTGGAGGACGGTCAGGATGTTGGCAAGTTGCGATGTGTTGGATGGAGAGAGGCTATAGGAGAATACTAGGTTGCTCTCTGGGGCGTTGAAGGTCTTGAATTTGAAGTCGGTGACGATGCCGAAGGCGGCGCCTGCGCCTCGTAGGGCCCAGAAGAGGTCTGGGTACGAGGTTGGTGAGGCGGTTACCACGCTGCTGTTGTGGAGGACCACGGTCGCGGAGACGAGTTGGTCGAGTGTAAGGCCGTGCAGGCGAGATGACATGCCGTAGCCTCCGTGGAGAGTGAGACCGCTTACACCGACGCTGGAGAGTGTTAGCAAATATATATGGTGTTGGCGGTGAGGATGGGGACCTACCCAGGACATGTTCCGTGGCTGATGGCTTGCTTGCCTTGATCGTACAGTGCCAGAGCAATGTTACCCAATCTACCACCAGCTCCAACGACTGCTGTGTGTGCTTCCTGGTCAACGGTTACACTGTTGAAGCGCCGCATGTCGACGATCAAATGTCCATCTTCGCCTCCAAGACCATGTGATCCGTAGCTGTGGCCTCCGCACTTGGGAGTGACTTGGACACCACTCTCAACTCCGCAAGATACAGCATCTTGGACATGTTTGACTGTCTGTGGTACAACGTAGGAAGCCGGTTTGAATGGTAAACGAAGATTAAAGGGCTTGACTGCCTGAGTGTAGTTTTTGGTGCCTGCAGCATATACAGGAACCTGGCGAGACTCAAGGCATTCGCTCAATGTAGAGTTTGCAGCTGTAGTGCAAGAAAAGAGAGCGGAGGCTGCAAACAACCATGTGTAGTATTCTTTCATCATTCTGGAAGTCGGAAAGTGGCTTGGCTGCCCAGAAAGAATTCATCCGCTAACGTCCTCGCGATACTTATGGATTGCTTGAATCCTAGAGGTGGATTGTGATCATGAGGTGCATATTGGCCCAATATACTACGGCTGAAGAGAAGAAAACATATAGACCCAGGAGACATAACTGCGATGAACGGTTGAGAATGCCCAGAGTGAAAACCTTGCTCTTTTCCTGGATCCTTTTCGGAGCCGTGGAGATTCCAAGGGGATTTGGTACTGATAATAACAGATCTTGCCTCTATCGCACGACGACTTCCAAGCTACGGCAATAGTGAGAAGCGGTGGCTTCAGTTTTATTTACCTCTTGGCAAAGATTGGTCGCAGAAAGATTAAGAGATGCCACCTCGTCTATACCCACGCACGTGTCCAAGTGCGCGGCAGCCGCATCCACGTACCGACGTTGGACAGCGGCGTGGCGGCTGCATTCCCGGTATAAGGCCTGGCCAAGAGATCTTATGATGCGTGTGTCCGAGATGAAAGACCGAAATGCAAGGCTACTGTAATTTCACCATGTTGATCAACCTGGGGTCGGCAACCGGCTGAAACGTTGTACCCCTGCTCGAAACATGGCTGTAGATTGCTATATATTGTCCGACGTGCGGCCTTTAACCGGCTTGGAAAATCGCATACTCACCGAGGCTGAAGTGGCACCCTCGCTTTCAGCAAGACGCATGATGAGGTCGGTTGTTTAGTCTAAGAGGGTGTAGTCAGGTGTTTCATCGTGGTAGCTCCGAAATGTCGAGTGCGGGCGCGTGACGCAAAGCGGTCTGGTGGAAATGCCAAAGAACACATGTCGAACATACAAACGATGCTACTTCCCTGTGCTTCAAAGTCAGTAACATATACGTCCTGACTCGTCATCCACAATCATCATGGTCCATTCGCATTCACTCCTTCTACCGCTGTTCGGCACTGCCGCAAGTGCGGCAAACCTGTGGGCGACACACTACTCCGGCACCATCAACTATCTGTCTTTTAACAGCAATGCCTTGACTCTCAGTAGTTCGGCCTCTACTGGCAACAAGCTGCCTAGTTGGATTACGTATGACAGTGCTGGAAAGGCGCTCTACATCCCAGATGAGGTCTTCCAGGGCCAAGGAGGCGGAAACTTGGTATCCTTCTCCGTGGGCACCAACGGCAACGTGAGCTCAATCGGAAAGGGGTCTACACCTCAAGGTGTGGTTGCGACAACGCTCTATGGTGGACCAGATGGACGAAGCTTCATCGCGAATGCCCACTAGTAAGTCAGCATCATTGAGTAGACACGAACTTTGCTAATCAAACGAAAGCCAAACCTCGCAATTGACGACCTTCAAGTTGCCACTGACTGGCGGACAGCCGCTTCAGACACTCAAGTACACTGGCAAGAGTGTCAACCCTTACCGACAAGAAGCTCCCCACCCACATCATGCTTTCGTGGACCCGTCTGGCGACTTCTTGATCGTACCTGACCTCGGAACCGACAAGATCAGGATTAACAAGATTGACCAGACAACCGGCAATCTTACAGAATGCGGTGCTGCTTTGCCGCCACCTGGAACAGGACCAAGACACGGCGCCTTCTGGGCGCCATCAGGAGCGAACTCGCGCGTTCGCCGAGCTGCAGACGGCACAGTCCTCTTCATCGCCAACGAGCTCTCTAACAGCGTGTCGGCATGGGCGGTGTCATACCCCGCATCGGGAGGCTGCATGTCTCTGACTCTGAAGCAGACGCTCACACCGTACCAAGGCAACGCCACCGCCGTCTCCGGTACCAAGGTTGGTGAGATCAAGGTCAAGGGAAACTTTGTTTACACCAGCAACCGAAACGACAAGAAATTCAGGCCCAACGATTCAATTACCCAATTCACCATCTCTCCTAACGGAAGCCTGACATGGACTGCCCTCACATCGTCCTACGGCACATACCCGCGTACTTTCGACATCAACAAGGCCGGTGATTTCGTCGCTATTGGCGACCAAACCACTTCAAACGTGGCTATTGTACCGAGAGATCCGGCTACTGGCAAGTTGGGAGAGCGTGTTGCGGATCTTAGGATCGGGGCTACCGGCATTCCGGAGAATGAGGACGGTCTCAGCGCGGTTGTCTGGGCCGAGTAGGCGTCCGCACGTTGGTCATTAGAAATTTGTGTATATACAATTACTTTTGTAGAAAATATAGGGTTGCGCGGGCTGATTGCGATATGACACCTGGGCAATGACGCGTTCGTTCGTGACTGAGGTGTGCAGAACCAAGAGCGTGTGAAAAAACGAGCCCCCCCCCCCCCCCCCCCCCCCGTATACTGTGAGCACAGAGTACAGCTTTGATACCCTCATGTTTATTTGGTTGCGTTTTCGCTTGGAGCAAGCGAAACCCAAGATCAACCACTCTATGTCAAGCAAGCAGATGAACTTACTCTATATATGCATGCGTATGCGTCCGCCAGCAGAATTTTCATAGTCAATTCAAGCACGATGGTTAAAGTTTACAACATTCAGTTTGTCGATGTTGTTCCTGCTCTTTCCCCCGAATGCTCTACGTGATCACCCTCACATCATCGACCTAGGCTGCTTCAAATTAACCGAGGGCGATGTTGTTACAGGCGTCCAGATACAGGACGCAGTCGCTACGACTATTCATGCAGTCTCCAGCAATACTCTTATCAATTTCCTAACATCTATGTAGACGTTCCGAATCGAGTTTGAATCCAAGACTGGGCCTCGCAGTACTCGTGTTATTTTCATGAAGAAAGGAAACAAGGTTATAGTAAGTCACAACTGGTCAAAGGCTGTAAGAAACAGATAACTAACGAAACTGCTTACAGGTCGGTCAATATACCGTTGATGCATCGCGAGATGTATTTGACTTCAACACAATTATCCGTTTCACTATTAATTCGCACCAAGGCTGGAAGGTTATGTATGCAGCTTATCTCGACTGTTTTCCACAGGACTGGGACGAAGTCTGGGAGGGAAGGACGACCGATGTTGACTTGTTGGTTGCTCCCCACAGGATTACAGAGGGAGACACAACCAGGGGACCTCTGATCAGGAAGTTCGCTGACTACTTGTTGGTGGGCAGGTATTGGGAGACTACTCGATGGACTTGTGCAATCACCACTGGCTAGAGATATATCGTTGCCAGTCAAGTAAGTGAGTGAAAGAGATCCTGCGGTGCACACGTCAGATGCCGTGAGCTTCGATAGGCTCTCACATGATGTCACGAGTTCATAAGTCACTGACAATACTTCAGTGTGTTTTCACATTCAACCGTCTTCAAATGATTTGGATCACGCCGTCAAAGACTAGACTGGCCCATCAATGTAAGGCTCATGTCTGCTCATACGAGTATGACTGCTTAATCTGGATCGCCAACTGATATCTCTAACCACGTGCCACAAACTAGGTTTCTCTCCATGATCGGCCAGAAGCGGAGTATCCTCGCTCACCTCGACTTGCGCGTGCTATCACCGCCTTTTGCTTACACCCTTTGTGGTCCAAGCTCTTTGCGCGTAATCAAACCAACCAGAACAAAGATTATCTTTGCCCACAACACCTCAACCTCACCAGACAATCTACAGACAACAACATGGTTACTACTTCTGACCCTGAAGGCGGCACTCCCAAGCCTCCCAGCACAACCAAGGCCCGGAACATCTACACCAAGCCCGATTTTCTCACCGCGCCGTTTCTCAACGTCTACAAGCGACTGCCCGCGCACTTACCCTCAAGCCACGCACACATCATCAAGGTTGGCCCCCTCAGGGAGGACCTATTCGAGGGCGAAGAACAATACGATCTCAAGATCCAAGATGCAGTGGCCACTCTGCTGTTCCAGATCTCCAAGGACACCCTAGACACGTTTCTCAGCGGCGTCACTGATTCTTTCAAGCTCGTTCAATCGTTTGAGGGACGATCCAAAATGCAGCTCATCATCTGGAAGCAGGGAACTCAAGTTCTGGTACGTGAACCAAATGAAACAGGATAGACCTCATCAAGATACATACTTACATCGTCTCCACGTTTTAGATTGGCCAGTTCATCGAGTACGAGAAACAGGATTGTCTAGAATGGGACAATCTCGTTCGTTGCACTATCAACTACGACGGATCTTGGGGTCTCTATTCTGCCAGCTTCGGTAGGTACACTAGGCGAGAGCATGAGCACGCATGGTCTGAGACGTTCATACGGACCGGTATCAACCGAAAGTTGGTCGCTGGTGACGAGAAACAAATGGCAGAGTATGCAGGCCTCTTGAGCGAGTACATCATTGTCAATGAGTGCTGGAGCGCTGGGTCGGGCTCCAAGTGGAACATCGAGACCGCCATGGCTGACTGAAGCATCCTCATCTTTGTTTGGGCTGCAATCTCTGCACTCAAGCTCCTTCAACATTTTGACATGGAGGAAACTTTGAGCGAATGACTATCCAGATGAGACTTGTCACTTACTGCTAGAGTAGTCAATATGCATCATGACCCTGCTGTTGCAAAACTGTCGATAACTTTCTCGTGGCGCTAACGGACAATAATCTGTTCTCATTTTGAACAATGATTTTGTTTCTCGCAATAACAACATTCGGTCTTACGTTTCACTTACGGCGCTCTTTCATCTTACATACCCTTTGTCGACGTCTGTCCAAACTATGATACCAGGCTCACTCACTTCTGCAACACTGCAAGATCCCAAAATTACAGCTTGCAGGACTTGAAAGAACGTGGAATAATGCTTCCAGATCACCTCCGAAGCGGCTAGGAACGTGTACGATCATCGGTATGTCCTCTCTTTCCTCACCGTCGCGCCTTCGATCAGCCCTCACCGACCTCGCCCGCTAGCGCTACTAGGGTGACCCGCACGACAAATGTCTACACGCTTCACGTAGAGCAGCCTCTTCCGCGGCATCTTTCATCGTTCCCCGTTAAACTTCATGCTCACCACTCCTCTTTCTTAGATCTCATCGCTCACCGGAAGCTAGCGCGTCTAGTTGTTGTACTCATATATCTTGTACCATGCCGGTAACTACGAGATTCAAACGCTTGCAGCTACAGCCTTCTAAAATTGACAACGGTCTCGGGAAAAATACAAAAGACCACGCGAAAGCTATCCACCGTACTGCTGTAATGACCAGCCATATCGACAGCACTCCTATGGAGATCGACGCGGACAGCAGCGGTCTTCCGTCCCCTGCTGGTACTGACATCCGTCCCGATTCGCCAGGTAAGAGCGACTCTGGCAAGAGCGATAGCAGCACGCTTCCCTATACCGACGACTTTGAGACCCTACCTTCAAGGGGCCCGTCCAGTCATGCTCACATTCTCGATCTTGCCAAGCATGCTGCGTCGATGAAAGAGGACGCCACCCTCAAGCTCCAAGATGCCGTTGTAACCGCCCTGTACAACATCTCGCCAGCGACGCTCAAGTCGTTCGTCAATCCCACTGTCAACACCTTCAAGGCTATATTCGGTAACAAGGACGTTCAGCTCGTCGTATGGCGCAAGGGTCTTGAAGTCTTCGTAAGTCATCACATACACCTCCAAACAGACAGTCGCTCACACCCCTTTAGATCGGCACATTCGAGCACCACACATCCATGAAGGCGTACCGCTTCGAACACGTCGCCGGCTTCCTAATCGGCTACGATGGATCCTGGCATCTAAAAGTTACTGCCAGCAACGCCTACTCCGCCCCCAAGTGGCCCGATGTGTGGGGCGGCAAGTTCGAGTGCCATGGTGGCGTCGCGAAGATGACGGTTGAGACTGGAGAGATGGGAATGGCGAAGCGAGCCTCGGCTTTGGCGAGTGCGATGATCGGTGGCAGATACTGGGAGTTGAAGACTGATATCAAGATTACCTGATGCGGAGCCACCACAGGCGATTGAGATCACTGGAGGTTGCTTGCAAGGATATAATCTGGGATCTATTTGGTATGCGTAATATGGGATATTTCTTGGGTCTGGAGGCCTTGCGAGAAGGTAGCGAACGGCGGTGGTAATGCGACGACGGAGATACTGTAAAGCGAGTGAGCTTCACTACTAGTAGTCAGCTCGAGTAATTTTGACTGGAAGATAGGATCTAATAAAGAACGTTACACGTACCAATGATCCTTCTATCTGTTTTTGGTAATGTGCTGGAGCCCTTTTTCATACCCTTTACACCCAATCTTTATCCAAAGTTTCTCGAATTCTTCAATCGCACCCTTACCGATCCAACCACCTCCACACCCATCCAGCAATCAACTTCCAAACACCACTTTCCCAATATACCAAAACTCATACTATACAGCCCCTCCAACTCCCCATTCCTCCATCAAACCCACCCTCGGAGCCCGTAGTCCAACGGTAAGACACCCACATCTCAACCGCGCAGGGCTGCCATCGCATCCTCTCAGCGTGCGAACGAACAAGGCTGAGAAACCGTCCGAGCTTCCGCCCAGCAAGTATCACATTGACGAGACCCGCCAAGTGAAAGTCTCTTACAGTATCACATTTTCATTCCGCTTCCGTCAAAGATGACCGATAGCACACAGCCTTGCCGAGATTGTGGGGGGTCCACGTTCAAGTCGCGGTGTACTCAATTACCTTTTGCTAGATGTTTGTGTTGTGTGCTGTAGTTTTACTGTATTTTGTACCCATCCAATCAAGTCCTCTCGAAAAAAGAGAAGTATCGTCAACACAAGAGCTTTACTGTATTTGTTGTTGTTGTTGCCGTGGATGGACATAAGGGAGCGGCGGAATCGCGGGTGGGTGAGTTCGTTGATGGAAATGGCCTATCTAGCGTTCAATCTCATCAAGAACGTTAAAGAGAGAATAGCAATGAGATTCATTGTATCCAGCGACAGTACCTAAAAATAACATGCAAGTCGCGAGCGTGATCATAATGCTCAAACGATCGATGTAGTGTATCCAATAACGTGTCTACCCCAAACTCCACTCGTGAACGCCGGTCGTCTAATGCGTATGCCAATGTGAGTAAGCAAGCTCAACGCGTGTAATCAAGGAATCACCAACTCCCCGGTCCAAAAGTTCCGCCTTTGGGTACTTCTTTGTATGGGCAGGCTTGCCAGTCACAACCCTATCAATAGTGTTAGTTCTTGTATACAATGAAGCCGGCTTATGTGTTGATGACTTACCTGCTTATAAACTTCCGTACCCCACCACTTGAAGTTACTCATCCAACCGGGGTACACAATGCCAAAGAAGATGACCACAACACCAAACGCAAGCCCAGAATCCAAAGCCGCGCTAAGCATCATATTGTACTTCTTCCACCAAGCGTTCCTCCGGTTGCGAATCTCGTAGTTGAAGATATAACACACAATCGCCCAAACGGAGAAGTTGAGTCCGGTAGCAGGCGGAATCCAACTCAAACTACCAAACACAACGGCGAGGTTGACTTTGCTGAGAATGGACTTGCGGTTGCCACGAGCGAGGTACCAGAGTATGACAGGTGCGATGGCGCCGATGGGGAAGGCCCAGATCAAGTGTTGGTAGAGTGCACCAGGGCCGAAGAACTTTCCTGGTCCGACGACACCCCAAAGGATACTTCCGTTGAAGTGGACGCGGGCGATGGGGCAGTTGAAGCCGTTAATGGCTGAGGGTGTGCAGATACCGGGGATGTTATTCAACATCCAGTTTAGAACACCGATCTGTGTTAGACTTGAGATGATGGTGACGGAGAGTTGGAGCTTAAAGAGGATTCTAGGTGGGATCTTCATGTAGTGACCTAGCTTGAGATCGGAAGCAAACTTTAGGCCTTGGGTTGCTGAGATGTAGCCGAAAGTCGTAAAGACCATGTTTGCGACGGGTCGACCAGGGAACACAACACCGCAAATCAGTTGGCAGATGAGGTAGATGCTGCTTTGTTGGTTTGTGATGGCCATGACGATGCCAATGGGGACGAAGAGGACTGCGCCGATGCCAAGTGCTAGCAAGAGGCCGTACCAAGGTAGATGGACGGGATAGTACTCGACGACGAACATGCCGACAGCAGCCATGCTAATACCAGTCAAAAGGTACCATGTTATCGGCACATCCTCGTATTTGCGCATAAGTCGGTTGTGCACATCTTCCGCAGATAGCAGGTCTTCCACGTCTGGGTCTGAAGTCGTACTGGGTCTGTGTCGCAATATCGCAGGCGAGGTTGGGGGGCTGTTGTTGTCGGCACCATTCACCAGTGGCTGGTAGTCAGCTGCTGATTCTTTCCGGATCTCTGCCCAAGAGCGACGCCATTGTCTCCAGATGTCCTTTCCGTACCAGAGGCCAGTGTGCGAAAGCAGAGCTGTGAGACCGGCGAACTGTAAGGCGTAGCTCAGCACGTAAGTAATCGGAAGGTAGACTCGACTGTATTGCTTGTACGCTTCTTCGTCGAAGAGGAAGTTCTCGGTCAAGATCTTACTAACGTCGTACGGCTTGCCGCGATTATCCCATACAGCGGATGATAAGATGGGCATATAGGAAGAGTAGAGGACGTTCTTGTAGTCTACAAGTTGTCAGCACTAGCAATCAAACCTCCGGGAACTACTCACACATGATCGGCGCTGCAATCCACATCACGCCTACAAGGCCTCCAAGAATGTTCATAGCAGCCCAGAATGGTGTAATCAACGGGGAGCCAATGTATGCGATCTGTGCCCAATCGAAAGTCACTGGGAACAACCCAAGACCAGATGAGATTCCGAACTGCTCAGGTTAGCTCTCTGTCCATTCAGACAAGCAACAAACGTACCAGGTTGGCAACAACAACGCTCTTTGGCGCGAACCAGGTGATGACATTGAAATAACTCAATGCTGGGAATAGGAGACCAGGTAGGAAGTAGAAGGCAACGGATCCTGCGAATATGCGCGAAAAGAACTTGCGTGGAGCGATGGTCCAGCCATCGGCAGGCTTGTTTTCATCTTTATGTAACGCGGTGAACATGGCGGTTGATACCAGTGTGCTCGGCCAGATCATGCCGCTGGGTCGGACCAGGTAACGTCTGGTGATACCGGCAAGGGAGTAGCCAAGTATTTGTGTGGAGAGAATAAGCAATATTTGGTACATGATGCCAAGGTCTTGCTTGTAAAACTTGACTTGCTCAACGATGACCTTGGATTGTCAGCATACCATACAGGGTTGCATAAATGATACTTACATCTGTCGCGAAGGCAAAGCCAAAGGATACATTGCTGCTGACATAGACGCAACAATGTTCCTTTTCATTCCAACGGCCTTGGCCTAGCCAGAGCCGTAACCGGCGTTTCCAAGTGGCTTTTGCCTGTGGAGGATGCGATGTTGCCTGAGAGCAACCATCGACAAAGGTTTCTTCAGGATCGTCGTGTCGTTTGAAGAGTTGGTCCCAAAGCAGACCGAGAGGGTGGACGAGTAGTAGTGCAATAATAGGAGTAAGACTAACGCTGGGGTATCGTAGGGAAAAGAACAAGTTGGTTGAAGAACCGGCGATGGAAAACAGAATCGACAGGAACCACATGCGCGGGGTATCAATGGACAGGGAGAGGTCATCGGTAGCAGCGACGGATGCCCTCACTTGGGCGTAGGGCGAATTATCAGACGGGCTACCCTTCATATCGTGTAAATCGTCGTCCTCGGAGGTTTCATTATCGTCTAGCGTACTGCTCGATGAGGTTGAGTTGTCAAACAGTGGCGCGCCGGCGGTAGAAGGATCAAGACCGCTTGCGTTGAACCTAGCTTCAAAGTCCTGGCCACTAGAGGCTACACCGAGCGTCGTGCTGCTACGACTGGCGTCACCCGTCCTGTGACGTGATTTCGTAGCGCCTGAAAGGATTGGCTCACTTCGTGTCGAATCATTTTGATGGTGATCCGAAAGTAGTGAGGGCTCACTATGCGAAAGTCTACTCTTTCCTTTTTTCTTTCTTGAGTTTTTAATCACATTGTTTTCATCAGTCTCCTCTGGACTGGAGGAAAGAATAGGTAGGCCGCCATATGAACCTGAGGTTTGAGTCAGCACGTGTAGCAGATGAGGTTCTGTGCGCCGTGTGCATCGTTGCTCCTGTGCGCCCGTCCAAGGCCGAGGGGCGACCAATGGCCATGGCGCTTGACAACGAAGAGTAGTTTACGTACCTGTTCCCTGCGCCGGGCTCGATCTCACCAAGAGAGGTACTCTTGACATTGCTGTCTTGACGGATCGTGTAGGAGTCTCGGGGCGGCCAGCTGGCGAATCAAGATCGTCATCAGAAGGGGTTTCGGACGTGGCTATGTTCCTTGCTTTCTTTGCTTTGTCAGGCAGAGGCTGCAACTCGTAGCTGCCTTGAGAGACGGGAGGACGGTCGTGTCGCGTGTTTCCAGAAGGATGGGCAGGCGAGAGAGCAAGCGACGAAGATGACCCGCACCCGTCCTCGTTAGCCATATGTATGGGTGGATGCCCGGGTGTGGCCAGGGGCGCGTGTACAAGTGCTCCGTTTGTCGCGCCAAAGCGGCCTCGCGCGACGTCGGAATCAGATGATCAGATAAAACCACCGGCAGCCATATGTTGGGCCGTACTCTTTTCGATGATCTGATTAGATGGAAGCGCGGAAAGCGGTCCAGAATTAGGTCAATGATGGAATATTAGTTGAGTCATCCAATGGCGAGTGCAGTGTCTTCACGGTAAGCGGTTAGATCCGGGCGACGATGTGGAGTTCCCAGGAAAAAAGCTCGCACGCTCCCGCGCGCGCGAGCCGCCTGCATACCATCACACACCTGCATGCTTCAAAATCCCGGCACCCTTACAGACCAAGACTGATTGACAGCTGCACGTCCGAGCGGACGCCGCAGCGCTTGCATTCGGAGTTTTACATATTTCTACAATATCCAAACGCTCAACGTGACGTCACCTCGTTCACGTCAACGTGACCGGGTATCCCCACGTGGTTTTCGGCTTTGCGACCAGCGGTGAGGCCCTCAACCATAGTAATAGCGCCCTCGGTGTCGTCCTTGTTGTAGAGGAACAACCCCTGTAGCGCTGCAGTGCTCACCGAGTCGATGAGGCCCAACTCTCTAACTCTAGCCATAAATCTCTGCTTCGCTTCCCCGCCTGCATCGAACTCTGCATAGAATCGGTCCCAGAGCTGCTCGATCTGATACTCTGTTGCTTCACCGAGTCTTACCGTCATGTCCACGCGCCCAGGTCGGATGAGCGCTTCGTCTAGTCTCTCGACGTGGTTGGTAGTCAGGAAAATGATCCGCTCCTCAGCACTGGCAACACCATCGAGAGCGTTGAGCAGCCCGGAGAAGGTGACCGAGGCGCTAGCAAATCCGTCTGCACCAGGCGTCTTACGGTTCATGAATGCGACGTCAACATCTTCCAGCAGCACTACAGTACGTCGCGGGACCTTGGTCAGCAAATGGTTCAGCCTATCGTCTGTGAGACCACGCTCGCTGACATTCAAAATGGCAATATTGAAGTCGAGATGACCTGCAACAGCCTGGATGAAGGAGCTCTTCCCTGTGCCCGGCGGCCCATACAGCAAGTAGCCTCGCCTGTATGGTATGCCGCGATCTAGGTACCACTTGCGTGATGCAATGAAAGCCTCCATGTCCTCTACAATGCGCTCCTTGACACCGCGCTCCAGGACCACCGAATCGAGGGGTCGCTTTCGCTTGGCGTCTCCAAAAGGCTGCCACATGGTGCCCATGGAGTTGTATATGACAGTCTTGCCCTCCTGCGACTGCTGGTATATCTGGTGTGCCTCGGCGAAGATGTCTTCGAAGATGTCGCGGTGCGAGTAGAGGGTCGTGAGATTGATCGTCTCAAAGGGTACGCCATCCTTGACGTTCAGGCTGTTGCGCTCTCGCTGCCGGTCGACGAGGATGAAAGCATTCTTGTAGCGCAAGAAGTGCTTGCCCGGCCCCGGTACGAAGGAGAAGTGGGCCGCGTGCGAGGGCCCATCCTGCGGCGTGTACGTCTGCACTTGGAGGTGGTGCATGCGCGGGTCGATGCGATTGAGCACCTTGGAGAGGACGCCGTTGCGCACGAGTGGCCTGGTGCCGGCTTGCTGTGCGCGGTGGTAGTTGGTCATCCATTGGAGGACCCAGGGATAGGCGTCGTCATGGCGAGTTATTTCCAGATCGACGAGCATGCGGCGGCGCACAAACGCGGCGCCATGTTGGAGTCCCTTCTGGCCCGTCCGCGCCGCAACCCCAAGCGCTGCGAGACCGAAGCCCTATGGCATCAGTGAGCACACGTCCAGCAAGCAGGCAGTGGCCCCAGGGTGAATCATACGGCGGTGAAGAAGGGATTGTCGGTGATTTGCGACCAGGGAGAGCTGAGACCCGGGCTGCTATTGCCGGCAGCGATCTGCTTGGCCAGCTGGTGTTGAGGCGTGTTCGGTTCCATGAGCGGCGGAGAGGCGCGCCTGTCCAGAAATTTGATACGCCATGGGCGCTAGCGGGGGATCGATGCCGCTACGCCGCGCCCATTCGTGCCTATCACCATGTCGCACGCAACCGATGGGTGTCGTACAGCGTTCGTTTGCAACGTGGAAGGTTGGTGGACTTATTCTCGTCACACCATCAGGGAGTTGTGCAAACGGCACAGAAAAAGAAAAATAGACGTTGACATCGCCGTGTACAGACTGCACAGGGCTGCATAAACAATCCGGGGTCGCGTCGCGGAGGGCCATCCATGGCGCCTTCCCAGCCCTGTGGAGTTGTGGAGCGCTAGGGCGAGCTTGGACCTGCTGCCCGTCACTGATAACTATCATAGCCTGCCCAATTCACTGATCAACACCCTGAAAGTACGTCGCGAAGACATCTTCGGCCCCGAGCACCGCGCTCTTCTTCACCTATGCGCCATGGCCACCGTAACCATAGGCAAATCCTATTTCGACGCTCTTCTACGCAAGTGAGTGCACACTATCTTGAACTTGGCTATGCGCCGGGCTGTTTGCTGATTAAAGTTTTAGGGCTGAATTTGTTCGTGTCCCTCAGGCAGTAGCTATGCATTTGGCACCTGTAGAGCTGACTCTTATCAACAGCATACTTCCAACCAGCCTGTCAGCTACGGCACTGATCTCTCGGACAACGTCACCATCAGTAAGGCAGAACATGAGTACATGGTACGTTTTATTGCACCCAACATCACTCCACACTTTCAAACTTTCTTCAGCATCCCTACAGCTCGCTCTGGTTCCTGCTTTTGGCTGCAAAAATGCTAACAATACATTTGCCCACAGACCCAAGCAGTGCGAGAGTACCGTACGTACACTCCTGCTCCAGCGCAATACTATTCGTTTCTGACCGTACCTAGACCTTCTTAAGAGCGCTTTATTCCGTGGAGGCCTGACGAACCAAACCTTGGATACACTGCTACAGGGCGAGAATGGTGCTTCGAACGAAGAGCCGTCGAGTTACGATTATGAATCGCAACACACACATACAAGATCGCAGGCTACTACTGTAGCAGCGCCTGCGTCAGCTCGTTACCCGAGAGGGTCCGATCATACCTCTGCCAGCCACGGACTCCACCCTAGACCTTCAGCATCGTTCCGTCGAGTCGTCAGCTACGGGGAATCGGAGTCTTTCACAGGCGACCTGGACAGCCCACCTGACGAATATGACGACCGGGATCGCGGACCAGCCCAGCGTATACCGCTCCACGATCAGCGCACTGTGCTCATCACCAACCTTTCCGAGCGTACCACACATAAGGACCTGGCCGGCATTGTCCGTGGCGGCAGACTGCTGGACATTTTCCTCCGCAATGACCGATCTGCAACGGTATCCTTCATCGAAGGAGCTGCCGAATTCCTTGCTTACGCTAAGCGTAATGACATATATCTGCACATGAAGAGGGTGAGATATGCACCTACCCCAAGGCATGAAAGAAGCTGACCATGCCAGCTTGAATTCCGTTGGAGCGACCGGCAATTCCACGTACCACCGCATGTGTCTAACAAGATCGCCGGCGGCGCTACGCGGAATCTTGTCGTCCGAGGCGTTGCAGGCAAGGTCACTACAGATCAGATCCGTGGCCATCTCGATCACATCCACAATCTCATCGTGGTGGACGTCTACTTCAGGAATGGCGATGCATACATCTCAACCAACTCTATCCATAACGCTTTGTTCGCCAGGACCTGCATGATGTCGCGTACTATATACAAGGGGATGCGCATCGAGTACTATCCGGATGAATGCGCTGGACCGCTACCTCAGCCCAAAAAGGCCCACACTCCCGTCACTCGCGTGCCTATGAAGCCTGCACCTGTGGTCAACCAGTATGCTCTTCTGGATACCGGCTCCGACGATGGGTCAGAGTCTGAAGAGGAGTTGTACAGGACCAACGGTGTGCAAGTCGATGGTTACCATTGGGCTAACGGTGTAGTAGCATGAACAGTGCCCATGGATCAGAGCTTGGCCCATTCCGTGGGGTCGGCGAGGACTTACAGTGACTTAATCCGGCCTTTCCGTTCTATCAAGTTTCTTCGCGTTGCGGTACGTTTCAAAGCAAGCTGAGGAAAATTCCGACTATCCAAGCTACATTCTCCATGCGAAGAGAGGGAAGCCAGCTATAGAGCTTCAAGTCGAATCACCATGAGTGAAGGCATGGCGATTAGAATAATAATATGGGTATGTTTTCGAGAAGAAGGTCGTGTCGTACAGCTCTCGATAGGTGTTGGTTGGAGTATGCTTCTTTTCCTATATAGATACCCCTCGGCTACTCTGGAATATGATTGTTTTACTTACAACACGTTGATCCCTTCACGTTTGAAGGAGAAGTCCATGATCAGCGTTTTGCCGGGATGGTGAACTCGCTCACCCCCTGGGCAGAAAGCTTGTCACTTTTAGCGAGCACTAGTCTTGCGTCCACGCGCATGCGTCAGCTATGTCATACGCCTTTGATTAGCCTCACTTCTTAGATCATAACTTCACCACAGATATCCTCCTGAGTTAGTTGATCTATACCAACAAACTTTGTTGAATCAAGATGGCGCCGACGATCAAAGTTGCTGTTATCCAACTCTACCCAGAGGTATCTCCTCTACCCCACATCATCTTGATTACCCATCATGGTCGACCACATCTACAACCATCAGGATCAGTTGCTAACATCAGCTAGCCACTACAGCCAGAGCACAATTTCAACAAAGCTGTTTCATTCATCCGCTCAGCAGCAGCTCAGGGCGCACAACTCGCCGTCCTACCCGAATACCACTTGACAAGCTGGAAACCCAACGATCCCGAGTTCCTAAACTGCATCGAACAATGCTCCGGCTACCTAGAGAAATACTGCTCTCTAGCCAAAGAATGTAACATCTGTAAGACCGTCCCACCACTCACAGCTCCACACATTCCCCAAAACTAATTCCTTAATCTCTCATCTAGCCATCGTCCCCGGCACAATTGTAGAATCCCACAGAGAAAACTCCGCAGCAGAAGACAAACTCCTCAACGTATGCTACTACATCTCGCCCTCAGGAGCCGTAACAGGAAAATACATCAAAAAGAACCTCTGGGGCCCTGAACGCGACCACCTCACCGGCTCCCGCCACGACCCGCACGAAGTCTTCGACACACCCATCGGAAAAGTCGGGCTACTAATCTGCTGGGATCTCGCCTTCCCCGAAGCTTTCCGTGAGTTGATTGCAGGTGGCGCGCAAATCATCATTATACCCACCTTCTGGACACTCAACGATTGCAACGAAGCGGGCCTTGCGCGGAATCCGGCTGCAGAGGCGCTGTTCCTAGATTCTATGCTCACGGCACGTGCATTTGAGAATACGTGTGCGGTTGTTTTTGCGAATGCGGGGGGTCCGCCCGGAATGGGGTATGCGGGGTTGAGTCAGGTTACTGTGCCGTTTGTTGGGGCGTTGGGGAAACTAGGGGGTGCAGGGGAGGGCATGTGTGTTGTGGATTTGGATATGCAGGTGCTTGAGGATGCGGAGAGCAATTACCAGGTTAGAAGTGATATTGCGAGGGGAGATTGGCATTATGTTTATAGGCATTCTGGGGATGGGAAGCTTTGAAGGATGGATGGAAAGTTCAGGAGAATTGCATATGGTGGATGTAGGTTAAGCTGTTGTGATGCTCATTGTCGAAGCGACACTGCTAGCGGTTTGTTGGTTAGAAGGGAATGCTGAGAAATTTGTTGAGTACGATTAGTGCTGTAGTCAATCCTGAAGCTGCATTGTGATTGTGAGGCTCTAACTTGATACTCTTGTATTACCTTTGACATCAAGTGACCATGTCTGGAATGTATGAGCGGGAAAGCACTAGTCTCGATCTAGGCATCGCATGCTGGCATCAATTAAGTAAAACGAATGAAATATGTCTTCATTTTGATTAATCCAATTTACTCTCGACCAACATCGAGCTCGTCCAAATGCGCCACAAAGTCGCAAGACATGGTATCTGACAAAAGCTTGAGGAAGCAAACCGGTGAACTCCTACCCGCAGCGCGAACGGGTTCCTAGTAGCGCGCAGCGCCAGCCCCTCTCCCAAACTATTGAACGCCGATCATTATGGTCGGAAGCACGACTATGGTCCTGCGCCTAACGCAAATACCTCGACTCCATCGCATGCTGGGCGTCGACTGGTATTTCCGGGTCGCATGTGTGCATCCGTCTCTTGATTCAACTCTGGCCGCTACCACTGGTTTCGCTGTCGGACCTCTCGTCCTTGCGAACGTAGCCTATTTCCCTTGTCGAGACGCCGTGTTCGTCCGTACTCCAGGTCTCGCCAACGACAATGACCCTCGTTTTTCCTTTTTCCAGGAACTTTTCTTCGTCTCTTGCTAGTTTGGCTGCATTCTCCGGGGCGTAGATCTTTCGGTAGAATTCTTGGAAGCGGGCTTCGCTGTCAAACGTCATTTCTGCAATGCAGTCACAGTCCAGCTCGTTCATCTCGCCCCTTAGCATTAGAGGCGGTCGGTCGGGGTTTGCCGGTCCTCCGAACCCTTTCCGCGATATCCGCGCGAGATAGCGACGTTTGAAATCGATCGGCCAGCAGGAGGCGAGCAGCGAATGGGCCAGGGGAACGTGCGTGTGCTCATAGTGATCTCTGAACTCTTCCGAGGTAAGGTCGTGGTTGCGCGTGATGAAGAGGACGATGGTGTACGTCATGTTGGAGGGTGGGAAGCGAGTCAGAGGGCAGGGAGGCTCTTGACTGCGACAATACGGGTAGCGTGGGTGGTAAGGACAGTAGTAGGGTTTTGACAGCGGCGTGGCTTCCAGAGCGTCTAGAGACAGAGGAACGGCAGGCTTTTGTAGTTTATCAGCCACACTCCATGCGAAGACATCATGCTGGCACCGAGCGCGCCTAAAGCCTCCGTTATTGATGCACACAGCTACTCGTGCTCTAGGGCGAGACTACGGACCCGGCGCCGGTAAACGACATGGGCTCGCCATACTTTCTCAACGCCGTCACGATACCCAGCGCTGAGGAAATCGCCGGTGAGTCGAATCAGGACGCGTCAAAACAGCAGGAAGGCCGCGAGGATTGAGTGGAGTAGGCCTGTTGCGCACTGCCCCTCACAGCGCTGATCCCGGTCGCGCCTGCCCTCTGCTTGGGCGCGCTATCGATAGCAGACTGCCGCTAGCAAACGCACAGAACGCCAAATTTCGTGACAAAGCGGGGAGCAGCACCACGACACGACATTCACCCCCCGTACAAGCACCCGTGCCGTCGCCCGAACGAACACCCAACATGAGTCTGCGCGAGCGTGTCCCGCCGCAGTACCAGAATGGCGACGCTGCCAGGCGCGCCCCGGACGACGACTCGGACGTCGAGGAGGAGGCCATGGCCAACGACTACCGCGAGCAGGTCCAATACGACGGCATGGAGGACCTCGACCGCATGCCCTCGATGAACAGCAACCAGGACATCCACGCGCAACTGCAGGCCGCGGCCACCCCCCTCGAATTCCAGGCCACGCTAGAGACCAAGTTTGCGAGTTACGACAGCTACTGCAACCTCTTCCACTACATCCTGAACTCTGAGGGCCCCGTCGACCTGGAAGTGCCAAATGTAAGGAATATGGGATACTGAGGAATACGGCAGAGCTAACGCTGGGCATAGTACTACTGGGCGTGGGATGTCATCGACGAGTTCATCTACCAATTCAACAGCTTCTGCAGCTACCGCCAACGAGTCGCCCAGAAAAACGAGAATGAGGAGGAGATTGCGCTCCTGCGCGAGAACCCAAACACATGGGGCTGCTACAGCGTCCTCAACGTTCTGTACTCGCTTATCCAGCGGTCACAGATCAGCGAGCAGCTGGCGGCGATTGAAGCGGGGCGAGGACGCGAGTCTGTACGCTGGAGAGTACGGCAACAGGCCGCTATACAAGATGCTGGGATACTTCTCCATCATCGGTCTGCTCCGCGTGCACTGCCTGCTCGGAGACTTCAGTCTCGCGCTCAAGACGCTCGACGATATCGAGCTCAACAAGAAGGCCATGTTCGCCCGTGTCATGGCCGCCCACTTCACCACATACTACTACGTCGGATTCTCCTACATGATGATGCGACGATACTCGGATGCCATCCGCATGTTCAGCCACATCCTCGTCTACGTCTCGCGGACAAAGAACTTCCAGAAGAACGCGCAGTACGATTCCATTACCAAGAAGAACGACCAGATGTACGCACTTGTCGCCATCTGTGTAGCCTTCCAGCCCACCAGGCTCGACGACACCATCCACACTGCCCTGAGGGAGAAGTACGGCGAGCAGTTCAACAGGCTGCAGCGCGGCGGCCCCGAGTCTCTTCCCCTCTTTGAGGAGCTCTTCCGCACCGCCTGCCCCAAGTTCATCAGCCCCACACCTCCCGACTTTGACAACCCAGAGGTCAACATTGACCCCGTTGAGCACCACCTCCGCATCTTCATGGACGAGGTCAAGAACAACATGATGTCTCCTACCGTCAAGAGCTACCTCAAGCTCTACACTACCATGGACCTGAAGAAGCTCGCTGGATTTTTGGAGGTTGAGCCAGAGAAGCTGAGGTGCTGGTTGCTCGTCAACAAGCAGAGGAGCAGGCAAATAAGGTGGGCCGAGGGTGGTCTGTTGGATGGTGATATCATTCAGGCCAGCGACCTCGACTACGCTATGGAGGGTGTAAGTATAGCACATCCCAGAAGCAAGACATTAGCTAATCAAAACCAGGACCTTATCCACGTTTCGGAGGCAAAGGTCGGCAGGAGGCTCGTAGACTGGTACCTCCGCAACTTGGCCAGGACTTACTAGACGGATCACGAGTGTTTTCTGAGAGCGACTATTCACATTCGGGGCCCGCACAATAGAGCATTGCGCTTGGAGTTGGAGGATTTCACGGGTGTATCCAAAAGCGTGTTTGCAAAATCTAAAGATACGCTTAGGCATAGGGAAGGCGAATATAGGGTCCAGGTCAGGGTATTCCACGACTGGATACCGCCCGCCGTGCGCGACGAATGGGCCGGGGGAAGGACAGGATGAGCGAACGAACAATGAGTTGAAGAATACCAACAAACTTTGCAGACTTTCAAATCACGTATCAATAAGTGGACGCTAAGTGGATGTGTGAATGCTTGGAACTTCACCTGGACATCGTCACATCATGTGGGGAAACAAGGGTTCAGCCTTCGTAGCAGACTGGTAGTAACTAGCGCATTGAGTGGACACGGCTGTTCTGCGTAATCTTCGCTTCTATTCGACCAACACCTTCCAAACAATCTTGACGAGCAAATTCCAGTTAAAGCGCATCGTTCGGAGCAAGCACGTCCGGAAAGATCATGGCGATAGAGTGAATGTCCTTGCCCCTCTCGGTCGCTCGTGCGCTCCGCAGATGCACTTTCCTCCCATCCACGTACTCGAAACCACAACAACAACGCCCAGTAATCGAGATTAGTCTCGCCTCCACGACCAGCCACCAGCTGCTTCTTCGATAGACATTCCAAGCCAGCGCGCCTCTCACGAGCCGTCAACGCTTTCACGCCAACCACACCCAGCGCGACACTCGCACCCAGACAAGCACGATGGCTCCGGATCTGAACAAGGTGCCGACCAACACAGGCAACACGTCGAGCACGCAACCGGCATCGGGCTCCTTGTCGCGTCAGACATCGTCACGTCAGGCATCTACACCGGGCTCTAGGCGAGCATCACAGATGGGCCCCCCGCCGCTGCCTCTCGCATCGCCTGGAGGTACCTTACCACCGCCCCAGTCAGCATCACATCATGTACACGGTTTCCCGCCTCTCAGCCCCAGCGCGAGCGGCTACATCCAGGCGAGCGTCGACTCAGCAGGCGTCCCCATGAGACACCCACGCCCTATGACACAAGCAGAGCTGCACCTTGAGCTCGAGAAGGAGCAGGAAGCAGTCGTCAACCGTCTGACGCGAGAACTTTCGGCTCTACGCGCGCACTCCGCGTCTGTAGCCTCCAACACGTCCATGTCAAGCGCCGCCGACTCTTCCGTCGCCCACGCCGAAGCTCCAACCGGACCAATGCATCCCACATCCTCGCGCCGCCACCGCAGTTCCTCGAGCGTCTCCCGCAGCGGTCTACCACCAGGCCACGTTCCACACCGTTACTCGATCTCCTCGCAGCCTGCAACGGGCGATTCCCAGCGCGGTCACCGCAGCTCGAGCGTCGTCAGCACCCCACGCTACGAAGAAGTGGCACAACACAAAGCGGAGCTGGAGGAGGTCAAAAAGGAAAACGAGGCCTTGAAACAGCGCATTCGTGATCTCGAGCGCATGATCAGGGGCGGCAATGACGCTGCTGACGGTCAGAGGGGTCGGAGGGGTGCACCGCAGTCGCAGAGCAGCGGGGTTGGCAACGCTTCTGACACTGTGCAAGTACCTGCTAATGAGACAGCAGGGGTCCCCTAATAAAGCTGTGAATAGGGTGAAGGAGATGTGTTTGTAGGGTAGCACTGAGAAGGTGTGTTAATAGCGCAGGTCATGCTCAAGTTGCATGTGCGATGGGGTGGAACATGATTGCTCCCGCCATATCATCAGTTGTCAACATGGAGTTTGAGCGATTAGTCGGCACGGGTATGCCAATTGGCATGCTTACAACATTTCCATTCCAGTTCTACCATTAGTATCAAATGAACAAACAAATTGAATAAACCCTTCTCTGGCCATGTATCTAGATAATATTTATATTCTCCTTCCCCCCAGATCCCGTTACTTCACATGTTACCATCTTGCACCCCTTATCATTATCACAAACCTTGCTTCTTTCCACCCGCCACGGCATATACGTAGATCTACCGACTAACGCCGCTGATCCTCACAACACGCAACCTAAACCAAAACTGTACACGTAAACCCCCCATCCCTCATCACTATCCCAGCCGTCGATCTAGTTTACACTCGCAGCGCAGACCGGCAGATCAGCGGACGCGGGATGGGATGCAAAGAGGGGACTGAGGCGTTCAGTTGGATAAGGCTATCCTGTGACGATGATGACATATGTGCGAGATGTGTTTTTATGGCGCAAGCAGGTTCAGGTTTAATCCCTCATCGCGCATTACGAACGCTCTGATGCGCTGTGCTGTGCTGTGGAGGACGGGCGGGATGGGGCATCGGCATGGGGGCCGGTGTTGGCATGGGATGCGATGGGACGGCATGGGATGACATGACATGAGAATGTAAGCAAAAAAGCAGCCCCGCGTACGTCATTCACATTGAGGCACAGGTTTGAAGGAGCCTGATGTTTCGTTTTAAATTGGGGCTGAAGGTCGGGGTATTTCGGGGTATATACGTGAGGCGGACGACTGAGCTTGTTTGGAAGTTGCAAGTTTTTGAGTTTCGCAGCGATAGGTTTTCTTGGACGATACAGATATATTATTGCGCGAGGCTGCTGTTACCGTTACTACTCAGGTATGATTTGTGTGTTTGACGTTTAGATCATGTTTGTTAAGAAATCAGGAACAGAACACCTACTTTCAGAACCATCATACAATATGAACTGGCTATCTAATCTCCTCCGCGGTAAACTGAATAGCATTGGGGAAAAGAAGAGGAGGAAGAGTAGCAGCCAACGTGTTGATGACGGGAGCGATGGTATGTACATGGATAACATATCCCGGCCGATGTAAAACTATTTAGACACGGAGAGATGCGATTTCTTTGCTAACTATATGTTCAGCTTTCCCGCCGAGCGCGGTAACAACAACTAAAACAACTACGGCGCATAACCCACCCACTTCAGTCTCACCACCCCCACCCACATCCTCCAACCCTTCAACCATCTCATCGGCGCCACAACGGCCGCCCATTCCTCGCATACCTACCGATATCATTACTGCGACGGAAAAGGTATGATAGGCGCCCCCTTCTGCATACCGAGTGACTCGTCCACGACGTCGAGCCAAGGGCATGAATCTGAGGCGAGAGATGTGGTCGGGGAAGGGACGTTGCTGACGAGGGCGGAGGAGGCGTGTGGTGGGGAGGGAGGAAGAGTAGTTGGGTGGGTGGAGAGAGGGAGGGTGGGCGGTGTGTGTTATGTTTAAGGGGGTTGATGTTTAGGGGTTTGTTGGAGGGGTTATGGAGTTATAGGGTGAGGTCTGGATATGGAGTCTGGAATTGCGTATGTTGAAGGGGTTGGTGTACGATAACGTGGAGGGTCTTGATTGAGAGACGTTTTTCTTGTCTCGGTTTCATGGAAGAAAGAGATGAATCCTTCCTTTCTATCTCTTAACTGCCCCAATTCGTCAACATCGAAGAGCGCGTAAAATAGTAACGATACCATCACAATCCCCTTGTCTTTCCTCACACCCTCCTGCTACCAGTCATCTTCCTGTTCTCACTATGCCGCTTCGCCTTCAACGCATCCCGTCTCCTCTTCTTCCACGCACGATTCAAATCACCCCGATTCTCCAGAACCATTTCTTAAACTCGCTCTCTGGCTTCTCCTCTTTACCACCAGCGGCCGCTGCATTCTCTTCCTCTTCTTCTTCGTCTTCTTCTGCGACCTCAGCTAGCTTGGCTTTGGCATTTGCGCGCGTGTTCTGAGATAGGCGTTGTTCGGCGAGGGAATCTAGGTCGCCCATGTCCTCGTCGTCGTCGGCTTCTTGGCTGTTCTTTGCGCCAGTCGAAGAGAAGCGGCGACCGAGGCCAGCGGTGTCGGGGGTTGGTGCCGCGCTGCGGAGGCCCGCGCCATTCAATGTCTCGTTGAGTGAAGGGGGGTAGTGGGGGCTTCATCGATGGGCTGGCCGCGCTCGTCGTCGACTTCCATCGTGTCTTCGTTGTTGTCGAAGAAGCTGAAGGATGTGTCGATTGGAGTGAGCTTCTTGGCGGGGGTTGACGTTGCGCCATCTGCGGGCTTGCGCGCTTGAATAGTGCTTCGAGGGGGTGGACCTCCTTCTCTGAGGATATAGTTGGCTGGACTTCGGGTTGTTTTCCTGCTTTCCACAGGACGAGCGGGAGAAGATGCAGACGATTCGGCTTCTGATTCTGATTCCGACTCAGACTCGGAGTCGGAAGAGTCCTCATCTTCGGAAGAAGACGAAACTACTGATGATTCGTCCTCAGATTCAGAAGATGATGGTGGAGGACTAGCTTTCTTCTTCTTCTGGTCCTTCGTGGTCGTAGACTTTCCTGTGCCGTCGATCCAGGCTCTTTGAGCCTCTGAGGGCGGCGTCTACCAGTTCCAGAGCTCGCCTAGCCTTGGCCTTCCCAGTCTCAGGCTCAACAACAACACCGTCCTCGTCGACCCAACCCTGACCATTGACATAGTCGACTGCAGGCTTCGTTGACAGGGCGACCTGTGGTTGCTTCAGGAAGCTGGGGGTCTTGATATTCTTCTCGAACTCGTGAACAACGACTTCATTTATCTTGACTTGTTCTTCTCCTTTTTCTCCTTCTTCACCTTCTTCTCGTCCTTGTGCGCGGCTTCGGTCGCAGCCACGGGTGTCAGCTTCGCCTTGAAGAGCAGCTCAGCATCTTTGGTATACTTTGAAGGCTTCCGCTCCTTCTTCTCATCCTTGCCACGCTTGTCCTTTTTGTCTTTCTTATCCTTCTTATCCTTCCTGTCCTTCTTCGACGGCTCAGTCCAACCGCGCTTGACCTTTCTGTCGTCTGGCAGCTCTACACCTTCCAGAACGCCCTCTTCCCTCTTCTTCTTCTCTTTCTTCTCCTTCTTTTCTTTTTTCTCCTTCTTCGCGCGCTTCGAGGGGCGTTCGGTATCCGCCACTTCCTTCGCCGCGTCGGCTTCTGCCAGCACCTTGCGCTTCTCTGGTTTCGCCATCTCTATCCGCACCTTCGCGCCTCTCAAGATTGTGCCGTTGAGCTTCTTCTTGATCTTTTGAGCTTCAGGTTCGGGTAGCTCTACGTAGCCGAAACCTTTCTCGGGGAATGTGGCAACGGTATGGTACGAGATATTCTGCGCAGAGGGAAGGACAGCGGCGCGACGTAGACCTTGAGCAGCTCGGGGCGGAAAGGCGTGATATGCAGGCGGACGACCTTGCTTTCGGGTTTGCGCTTCGGAAGAGTTAGGCGCTTGTGCTGCTGGCATTGGTTCGCAGATTCGCGCGCGTGCGACAGGTTGTATAGGACTGTGCGCAAAGACTCCAAGGCGTCTGGAGCAAATAATACGGGCTACAAGGTTGAGCGACGCCTGTAAGCGTCGTGTAGAAGTGTCGGGGCGGAGGGGAAAGGAAAATGCTTAGCGCGACAAGGGACCCAGCTATCTGGTCTTAGCGCGAATGCGGGCGGAGGTTTGGAGCTCCACTCTGACCATTATTATGTTCATCGCGCGATAGACGTCTAGACTTAGATCAGATTGACATCTTGTTAACACTGCAATTGATTTGTCGCTTGTACAGACTCAATACGTTATCTCTCGTTGCCACCACCACGATGCGGAGACCGCCGTACCTGCTCTTCCTTTTCCTTACCTTTCTCTCATCCCTCTCCCTGTCCCTTGCAGCCTGTATGTCTCCTCCCTTCATACGCAGACACTTGCTTACATACTATAGCGCGAACGTCTTTCTGCAAATGCACCTGCTTCGGCAACAGCACCATCGTAGCCCTCGACGCGCCCAGCACGAAGAAGCCCGCCGCCCTCGAATTGAAACCCCGCGCCTCCAAGAAGACATGTAACGACTGCAACCGCCAATTCTGCCTCGGTTATGGCTTCTGCGCAGGAGAGAAGGAGGAGAACGTGCTTACAACTTGTTTTCAAAGGGACTCTGCGAAGGACCAGGCAGTTGTGTTTGTGTTCATCGGAGCGACGGTGGGGCTATTGGGGTGGGCGGCATTGCGGCCTTATGTTGAGGGATGGAGAGAGGTACGTGTAGATGAGCGAGGCCGACTTGCTCGGGGACTGACTGGAAGCAGCGTGCACGGGAACGTCGAAGCTATATACCAGTGGCTGGTCAAGGGAACTAGCGAGTGGAAGGCTTGGAAATCGTTTGAACATGTATTCCGTGTGCAATATGGACACGAAACGAAGATACCCAAGATGATCGTTGACTCCTTCGTAACTGCTGAAGAACTCCATCATGCATACATCTAATGTGACAGCAATGTACAGGCTGAGGTCGTATATAGTACACTGAAGCGTCTGGCTTCACTCTCCGCTGTCCTTTCTCTACTCTTTCTTCGATCCACCCTTCATGAATCCAAACCAGCCCTTGCCGGTCTCCTCCACCTTGTGCACCGCCTTCTCTGCTGTGTTGTCTAGCGGCCCTCCGACTACTGGTGTCGATGATGTGAATGTGGATGTTGTGTCGTTCGCCCTGGCTTCTTGTACCGCAGCAGCGATGCCCAGGTTTGAGTTGCCTTGGGCTTCTTGCCGCTTGATCTCCTCCACCGCCAACTTTCTCTGCTCTGCGATTGCTTGGTCCTCCTTCCAGTCGCCGTGCAGCCACCATAGCAGCTTAGAGGGGGCCTTTCGCTCTGCCTTCTTCCTCTCCATTGCTTCTTGCTCCTCGGCGATACCTGTGACGAGAGCGGCTTGTGCGGGTGAAGCTGTTCCTGATGCGACGGCATTGCGGGCGGCTTCGAGGATCCTGGCTTGGACCCGTTCCTCTTCGGCGAAGTAGATTGCTCGTTTCCGTCGGTTGTAGACGATCATGTCACCTATTGAGAAGACTGCGAGGACACCGACGCAACCTGTTTAAATAGTTTAAATAGTTAGCATCATTGCTTCCCAGTGGCCAGTGCAGCCATTGGCTATTCGTATGCCCACATACCCGTTGCAAATATCAAGCCGTAGACGGTAAATCTATGCGCCGCATCCGCCGCCATTCTACCGTACAAGTACATGTAATCCCACCTCGTCACCTGCGCCATCTTCGCCCTGTTTGCTGCCTCTCGTAACCGCTTGACTTTCTGTTGTGGCGTTTCGTTTTTCGGTGCGGGATCCGCGAATTGCAGCGTCGTTGCCCGCCCGCCAGGTCTTGTGTGCGCCCATACTCCAGTGGCTGTGAATCGCGTCGACTCCTTCGGTGATTTTGACATAGGGGGCGGCGGTGGGAGAAGCGCTTGGGGGGCAAGTGTTGTGGAAGGAAGATGTCGTGAAGATCGGAGCGGGAGAACGAATGATTCGATGATTTCCAAAAGTCGAGATGGACTAGGGTTCGATGCGGAGATTTCCGCCCACCTGCCCGCTAACGTACATCGCCAGCCATACCAAGCTCGATTGCTTATCAGATCTTTCTCGTGTTTAGGTTGGGGGGTCGCTGGTACGTTGAGTCCTAGAGGGCAGCAAAATATAGCATGAGCATCGCAGGCCAACGATTGCTTCTCTCTCTGCAACTTGATCTGGGCGCAAACAACACGCCATGTTCCAACGTTCACGCTTACAATTAACACCACTCTTGCAACATCCTAGCGTTGGAGATTCGCCTTGACATCATCAAAACGTGCAGTCGCAGACATGGCGGGAAACATCAATCAAATCTAGATTTGGAACAAATTTTGGCTACGCTTGCGAACCTTCCCAAACCGGAGGCTCAGCCGGTTCAAGATCAACAACAACAACCATACCAACCCTACCAGACTCAGCAGGGATATCCAGAAACTCAACAGGCATACCCGAACCAGCAAAATACCCAGTATCAGCAACCAACTGATCCTCGCTTGGCTGGTCGCGCGTCTCTTCAACATCGACAGCCACCCCCGAAACCGCAGGACAGAGTTTCTTCTCCGTTCATCGATCCTTCGACCATCACGGAATGGAAACAAGGTCTCCGCTGTGTGAGCAAGATAGCTTCTCAGAACCCAGACTTTGCTCCTGCAGTTCGCAAGGTAGGCCATACGTCTCTTATGAACCCACGTATAATGCTTACGAAACAATCAGTTAATGAAAGATCAAGAGTCGAATGTCAAGTCTTGGGAGGCCGGACGGAAGAATATCATTGATGAACACAAGTTTAAGCGCGAGAATGAGCGAACTCATAGAGCTGCGTTGTACGTTGTAGCTACCTTCCCATGACAGCTGGCTAATGTTTGTAGGTCTCTACCAGGTCTCTTAGAGAATACACCCGCGCTTCGAGTATGTGTCAATACATCTGTCGTTGTGGATGAATACTGACGCGGCACAGACACCAGAGCGTGAAAAGGAAGAACTTGACCAGTATGACGCCAAGGTATACCGAGCTTCCAAAGCCATGGTCGAATCACAAACATCGTCACTCAAAGTTTTGGGTGTTCCCTTCTTCGGTGTAAAGCCACATCTGGTACTAGGCTCCAGCTACGACCCGACAGAAGTGGGAGACTCACAGCCCACACCGACGGGTGGTAAGATATCAAAAGAGCAGCTTCTCGAATTGCAGCGGAAGATGCTGAACCACTTGATGGAGCTGTATGGGGACTGAGGAGGCTTCTTTACAAAACGAAGACGCTTCGTCGCCACAGAACGATCAGTAGTCTGCCAGTGCTAATGGTGGGTGGTTGCCGGGCTTCGGACTTAGCTTTCTGATCCTAGACCAAAACGTTCTGTTTCCTTACCATATCCGTGCATTCACCACCCCAGATAGCCTCTAGCTGCAAACGTTTCTATAAAGCGACATCGGCCCATGGTGATGACGTCAGCTGCGCGATGTTACCGGCAACAGTGGAGAGCAGAGTGAGCGCGCGAGTGCAAACGTACGCGAATCTCCCATTCACTGGTCCAAGTAATTGCCTCGACATCATTGGCTACTCAAGGTAAATGGGGCTAGTCTCTGTTGGCAGCAATCACTCTCATAACAACAAAACATCCGCCTGTTCTGTAATCATCAGCTTCCAGTCACCTCACCACGCTCATTGAAGTATCAGATCAATTCCACATTCTTTTTGCTACCCACACTCGCTCCTTCCCTCTACTCACTTCAACCTCAGTCGTTCCTTCCGATACAAACGTTCACCCTCTAAGATGAACACTGTACGCGCACTCACCATGATCGCAGTTGCCGGTAAATAGTTTCCAATCAGCCCACTTACCCACTATATCATTCTTGCTAACTCGAATGTAGCAGGCGCTGCCGCGGAATCTGCCCAATGGAGTCCCGCTATCAACCACGTTCTCGCTCATGCTGTAGCTACACGTGACGACCACTGCGCTGAGCTTCCAAAGCTCTGCACAGATGCGGTGCTGCTACGTGGCTATGAGACGACTCTGACCTACCTGTGTCCCGAGAAGACCGAAGGCCCATCTACTGTCACCGTCACTACAACCAGGACGACTACGGTCACGGCTGACAAGAGCCTGACCTCTAGCGTTGCTCCCGCTCCCACCTCGGATGTTGGAGCTTCTCCTTCAGGACAGCCTAACCCCAACATTCCTGTCTCAGCCACTTCAGACGCTAGAGGTCCTCCCGCAGAGGAGCTCACCACAACCGTGATCATTCAGTCAACAGTCCAGGTTACCATCACTAGATCGGTCACCAAGGTCGCCCCCAGCTCCACGTCTTCGCTTCTTCCTCCTCCATCGATCACTTGGTCCTTCACGGCGGTCCTTCCTACCGATGTCAAATCCTCTCATGTCTCGGGCGGATCGTCGTCGGCGTCTCGCATTGAGCTACCTTCGACAGTGTCGTCCGTCGGTCCGCCGTCATCTAGCACGAGCAAGTCGTTTGGATTGTTCCCTAGCCATACTGTTAGCAGCTCGTCTTCGGTGGCTTCCACGTCTTGGTCACCTTCGACGTCTTCGGCGGCTTCCACGTCTTCGTTGGATCCCATGTCTTCGGCTGCTTCCACGTCTTCGATGGCGGCTTTACCGTCGGGTGGTCATCTTGCTCCACCTTTCGCGAACGGTACCGCTATCAGCTACACCCCGGGCATCTTCCCCACTCTGAACGCAAGGAACGACAAGTCCACCACGACTATCACCTCTACGGTCACTCACCATGCCTCTAACCATGCCATGGACTCTGCCCATGCCTTGGACATCGCTCATGCTGCGGCCACCGAGACCAAGAAGGGCCAGGCGGGAGATAATCGGGCCTCGTTCATTGCGCTGTTCTTCGGCGTGTTGGTTGCTACCTGGCTTATCTAAGGAGGCATAGCTACTTCTCTTGGATAGCGGTATGGCAGTGTGAGGAACGAATGTTCTGGATTACACGTGCGACGGTGTTACGATGCAATGTGTCGAGTGTTTTCACGAATGACACAATATGTACATAATCATAGCGGCACGTCAACCTAAGAATAAGCTGAACGCCATGGAGCCTACATTACCACAAAGTTTCTCAGTCTACTCACTTTATTCTAGTGTAGTCCGCAGAACTGTTCGGCTTTTTTCTTGCAAGAAGTGGCGGTGTAACGGCCCTCTGAAGCAGATAGAGACATCACAGGAAATGGATGCTTGATTGTATGTATACTTCTTGGTTTCGAAGTGACATGGAGTGCCATATGCATAGGCTCGGCGATGGCTGCAGCGACTTCAAACAGCGAGCTCTCCAGCAGCTTGCATAAGGAAGTGATCAAGCCGTAAAGTAACTTGCTCCAATGTGGGAGTATCTTCTCCAACTACCTGCTGTGCACCGACAGAAATAAGCCAAGGGCGATTGCGTGCCTTCGACTCTAAATCATCGAGCTCTTCTAAAGCCTCAATAAAGTCTGCTCTTTTCAGTTCGAAGGCGTCGCCGTCAAACGCCCCGGAGCTCCATCCACAATCGCGGTAGATCTTTTGCCACGCTCTTACTCGATTAATGTCCCGCCGCAACCAGTCAGCACCATCTGGGCCGTGCTGCTGCCTCAAATGCTGGATCGCAGCGGTTGTATCAGTAGGAAGGCGAATTCCTCCCGGAAAAAGGTTCTGCATAACAATAGGATCTTCCAAGATCTTGCGCGCGGGTGGATGGGAAGGATCGTCGTCCTCTCGGGGATCGAAATATGGAGCCCATTCCAGGCTTTGAAACCTTGAGATAATTTCATCGAGCACAGTCTCTACTGGTCTCCTAGGCGCTTTCTCCCATTCGTCGCGGTCAGGTTCCAACTGAAGACCACTCGATTGTCGTTTCTGTATTCCGTGAATGTTTAAACTATCGGTACGCAATCAATTAACATACGGTCCTGTGTATCATAGATCAAGTCAGTACCGTAGTGCCCGCTATGCGTATCACCGCTTGTCAACCTCAGCATGTAAGGCGGCAGCAACTTAGTATCCTCATCTCGCTTCACCCTCTCACCCCATCGCAGATCCTCGACGAAATCTGTGTCACCGGAGTCGGCGAAGTATGTCACGGCTTTTGAGCGGGGGATCATTTCGACGCCGAACCACTGCCACCCTTCGACGATTTCGCTGCGCATTGCGGGCATCGATCTTATCAACTGAATGACCTCAGAATCCAGGCCTATTTTCTCGAATGGAGT